TCGAGACTCAGCAACATCCCTCCCATCCCCGGCTCCCGCAAGTTCCTGGGGCTGAGGGGTGGGGAGAGGAAAATATTCTTGGCACCCAGGGTGCCACCCATTTGCCTAGTAAAGGACTAAGGAAGGAGCCAGAGGGATGGAATAGGGTGAACGGGAAGAGAAAGAAGCTAGAAGGACTAACAGAGGGCAGAGGGGAGGACATTGGAACCATCTCCCTCCCCTAGAACAGCCCCAGAGAAGCAGTGAAGAGTGTCCAATGTCCTAGGTTGCAGGTCAAGGAGACCTGAGTTCTAATTCTTAGTCCCGACTCTGCCATTGATGGGTTGTATGACCTTGGGCAAGTGTCTTCCCTGTTCTGAGTCTTAATTTCCTTATCTATACAGTGAAAAAGTTGAATAGACAACCTCTGACCTCTGGATGTAGGAGGCAAAGCCACAGACCACAGCCTGGGCTGAGTGACTGCAGATAGTCCACCCAACTCTACATGCTACCCACCCATACTACGTTCCCCTGCATCCCCTAGGACAGACAGGAAGGAGACAGACATCCATTCATGCATCCCTGGATGCATCCAGCCAAAACCAAGTATTAGGCACCTACTCTGTGCTCTGTAACAAAAACACAATGCCCTACCCTCAAGACCATAGGCTGAAGCCAGGTGCCGTGGCTCACATCTGTAATCCTAGAATCCTAGCTCCTCAGGATGCAGAGATCAGGAGAATCAGTTCAAAGCCAGCCCCGGACAAATAATTCCCAAGACCCTATCTTGAAAATGCCCAACACAAAACAGGGCTGATGGAGTGGCTTAAGTGGTGGAGCACCTGCTTGAGTTCAAACCCCAGAACAGCAAAAAAAAAAAAAAAAAAAAAAAGCATAGTCGAAAGGAAATGGTAGGATTTGTAAACCAATTGTTATAGGATGTGATAAAGGCCATGCATGATCAATGTGTGTGTGCACAGTGACTGTGGAATCCTAGTGTGTGTCATTAGAGTCTCTGACATGTAGTAACTTCTTATTTACCCAGGGAACCAAGGCAGAGGGAGGGTGAATGACTTACTTGGATCACCTGCTAACACTCACAGAACTAGTCCTAGAATTCAGATCTTTCTCATTCAGAAGTCCACAGAGACCCAGGTACCAGTGACCCACACCTGTATTTGGGAGGCTGAGACTTGGATGCTCACAATTCAAGGCCAGCCAGGGGTAAAAAGTTAGCGAGACTCCATCTCAGCTATAGTTGGACGAAATGCGCCTTCATCCCAAGCTAGTTGGGAAGCTGAGATGGGAAGGATTGCAGTTCCAGGCCAGCTTGTACAAAAAAAAAAAAAGGTTGGTGAGACCCCATCTCAACAGGAAATCTCAGGTACTGCTAGAGGGCTAAAATAGGAGGCTCATGGTCCAAAAAAAAAAAAAAACTGTGTCTCAAAAATAACCAGAGCAAGAGGGCTGGAGGCATGGATCAAGCAGAAAAGTGCCTGCCTAGCAAGCTCAAAGCTCTGAGTTTAAAACCAGAGTTTTGAGTTCAAATGGTCATGTGGGCCATTAAGGGTAGGAAGTCACCTTGAGGCAAAGCCTGGGGGTCTGCTCTCAAGAGATGGAATGCAAGCACACTGAGATGCCACACCTCATCTAGAGCAGGAGGGCCACCACTCCTGTCACTCCATTTTCCTACTCCTCCCTTTCTAAGTGAGGTCACCTACTGCTTCAGAACTTCCCAGCCTGTGTGATGCTCTCCAGGTCAGTGAGTCCATTCTCCCTGGCCAAGCAGAGAAGTATGGTCCTGAGGAGCCACCTTTCGGACTCACTCCCATGGCAGAGGAAGACCCTCTCCTGATAGCTTTTCCAGTGTCTCCCACCCATGTTTTTTTTGGAAAGTTGGCCTCAGAGCCAAGTCCAGCTCCTCATTCTGGTTTCAGCCCATTCCACTAAGTTCAGTCCTCTCTGCGGACAGACATACAACACAGGTCCTGATGCCGGCCTCTCCCAACTTACATGAGCTTATCACATTCCCTATTTAGTTAGTTATAACCTTCCTCCTGACACCCACCCACTGTCTCCACCTGGGGGACTTTGGAAGAGGGACAACCCAACTCCTTTTGGCCAGCAGAGTTCCCAAGAGACAAAAGACCATCACCACCTAATCCATTCACACACAGTATTCTTTCCTGGAGGCTCCAGGCAAAGGGGAGTGAAGGAAGGGGGCTGTATGAAGAGCCAGCTGACCAGCTGGTCACCATGGAAACTGGGCCTATTTCCCAAAGAAGAGCCTTGCTGGGGTGGGCGAAGGTGGGGAGAAGGAAAACAAAAGGGAACCAGAGAACACCAGTAGAGGGAGAGAAGGACCCAAAGTGTCCACCCTGGGAGAAGATTGGGAGGGGCAAAGTCAGAGCCTAACCATGCTGCAAAATCCCCCATCATCCTTCCAGATAACACTGCCAGGGCCCCTCTCCCCATTCCTGGAGTGACCAGAGGGCTTCCTGTCAGGGCACGGTTTGGTGCTGGGGCAGTGGCTGACTCAATGCTGACCTCATGTGGCCAAAAACCAGGCTGCCACACACCTGTTAGGTCTCAGGGCCAGACACCTGGCTGGGTTGAGGTGGGGTGGGATTCCCCTTACATTCAGGTCCCTGCAAATTGGAAGGATGGTTTCTGCACCCTCCTGAATTCTGTGTCTTTGCAGGGTCCTAGCACCACCAACTATGTGGTTTAATAATGGATAAGGGAAAGGTTTCACTGAAAAAACTTGTAATGACTTGGATTAGAGCCGAGTGCCAGTGGCTCACACCTGTATTCCTAGCTACTCAGGAGACACAGATCAGGAGGATCACGGTTCGAAGCCAGCCGGGGCAAATAGTTCTCGAGACTCTATCTCGAAAAACCTTTCACACACAAAAAAGGGGGCTTGTGGGGTGGCTAAAGGTGCAGCCCAGTTCAAACCCCAGTCTGAAAAAAAAAAGGAAAAAAATAAGACTTGGATTAGGTCAGGAGAGCCCAGCTCTGCACTCTCTGGCTGTCGGGCTTGAGCAAGTCAACTTCCCTATCTGGGCCTCCACTTCTCACTATTAAAACAAGTGATGGTGCCACATTTTCAACGTGGCTGATCTGGGTCTGGAGTTTATACTTTTGCTACAGATTTTGATAAAGAAAGAAGTGCACACAAGGAAGGAGGTTAAGAACCTCTGAGATTCCACTGACTCCTAGGGAAGAAGTGAGATTTTTTTCATTGGTGGGTTGTTTGAAGTGCTGGGGATCAAACCCAGGGTCTTGCACTTGCTAAACAACCACTCGCCTACTGAGCTACACCTCCAGCACCCCAAGGGAAGGAGATGCTTCAATTTCCTTGGGCTTTCCCCTCCTGGACCCTCACTCCCTCTTGCTCAACACATCCTTCCCACTCTGGTCCTCCAGTGTATGGAGAGGCTGGTGAATCTAGGCTCTTCCTCCCCTCCTTCTCCTTCTATTCCCAGCTCAAATAGAACTTTCCTGCCCCTTGGCCTACTAAGTAGTTGGCCCTATTGTATGCCCCCACGATACCCTGTTCCCATTCCTGTCAGCACAACCCTTCTGAGTTGTAATTGCCGGGAAATGTGTAGAAGGCTGGAACCTTAGGATTGTTTTTGTTGATGCTGGTGGTGGTGGGGTTGTTGATTATTTTTGTGATTATTGGTTTTACTCCCAGTGGAGAGAACAATGTCAGGCACATAGCAGAACTCCCATACATGGTTATCAGTGAGTGAACTGTTGAATGAATAAAATGAGGTTCCAGGGAAAAGGGTAGTAGGGGGCTGGTTAGTAGCTATCTACACTCATCCCAGCTTCTTTGCCCAATGCCAGAGATGAAAAGACAGCTGTTTCCTTTTTTTTTCCTGGTGAATCTGGGGCTCTACCACTTGAGCCATTCGAGCCACACCTCCAGTCCATTTTGCTCTGGTCATTTTGGAGATGGGGGCTTATGAACTATTTACCCAGGCTGGCGTCAAACCAAGATCCTTCCCAATCTCAGCTTCCCAAGTAGCTAGGATTACAGATGTGAACCACTAGCGCCCAGCTGTAAGCTGTTTCCTTTGGCACAACCCTTGAAGGGCATTGCTGGCTCTAGATAGATGTGGCGTCTAGGGGAAGGACAAAGAAGGTGCAAATCATGAAACACTGGTTCTGAGCTCAACTGTGGGTGGTGCTCTCCCAAACCTCATTAGGCCCAGAGAAAACAGGGACAGGGAAAGGAAGATGTTTCTTGGCTAGGGTGGAGACTTCAACAGTCTGGGGCCTCCCCATCCTGGCCCCACCATGAGGAACTAAACTTCCCTGACCACTGGTGGTAGCCAGATGCTGTAATCACCCTGTGAGGAAGACGAAACCCTATGACTGCTGCTATTAGACACCAGTCTGCCTGAGAAAAACCACTTTCCAAAAACACATCCTCATGCTTAATTCTGTGATCCAGAAAACTGACACAGGAGTCTCTCTATGAAGGACCCCAGGGAAGAGGTGTCCCCTTTCCTACCCATACTCCTGGGCACTGATAAAGACAGAAAGGCAAGAAAAGGTGAGAGAAATAGGCAGGAGGTAAAAAGCAGTGCGTCCTTATTCCACCATCTACGTGCTTTCCCCCACAAGACGCTCGACTTGTGCAGAAATTTAATAAGTGTACCTTTAAAACAAATGAAGAAATGAAAAAGGAATGAATGAATGGAATGAAGGAGGAAGGGGAAAAGAGTGAGTGAATGAATGAATAAATGAATGAGTGGGTGGGTGAATGGGTGGATGGATGGATGGATGGATGGATGAGGTAATCAAGAAGGAGTGAGTCAGGACGGGTAACCATAGACTCCGAGCCTACGCAAAGAGCGGTAAGGGGGATTCCGGAGGGGCGGAGCCTCAGTCCGGAAGCGCCCGTCGGGGGCGGGGCGGGGGCGGGGCCAGCCGCGCGCGGAGGGGGGGCTTCCCCGTGAGCCTGAGGGGCGGAGCTAGGGAGAGGGCCGGTTGGGTTGCACAGCTGCCCAGAGTAACCGCTGCGGTGGCCCCAGCCGGCGCTCCGGACCTCGTCGCGCTTCGCATCCACCCCTCGCGCCATACAGCCCGGTAAGGAGGCCGCTTCGGGCCGAACGCCCCGCTCTGCTAGGCGGATCCACAACCCGGAAAGGCGCGCGGCGTCGCCCGGAGCCAGATCCTGCTCGAACCCGGCCCTCGGGCTGGCGCCGCGGGCATGTCGGAGGCGCGGAAGGGGCCGGACGAGGCTGACGAGAGCCAGTGTGACTCCGGCATAGAGTCTCTGCGTTCTCTGCGCTCCCTACCCGAGCCCACCCCGGCCCCAGCCTCGAGGCCCTCGGACGGCCGCGACACACAGCCCTGGACCAATCCTCCTGGGACCGACAAGGAGCCACGGGGGAAGGAAGACGCGGATGGGGAGCGGGCTGACTCCACCTATGGCTCCTCCTCGCTCACCGAGCCTTTGCCCTTGTTGGGGGTCCCCGAGGCTGAAGACCCGACCCCAGACTCGCCGCTGGCCCCCGCGGGGGCGCTGAGCCCTCAGCAGCTGGAAGCACTCACTTACATCTCTGAGGACGGAGACACGTGAGTAAGGTGGCTAGGCTGAGGGGGATGCTAAGTCTGGGCCTCCCTAGGACCTACAGCTGGCCAGGCACCCTCCACACCACCACCACCAACACAATTCCTCAAAGCACCGGCCCTAGATGGGACAGCCCTTTCTCTCCCAAACTCCAGACTCAACTCTCGGCCCACTTTTGAGCTCTCCCCAGGCCCAGACCAGAGGACCTGGCATATCTTTCTCTGTCCTCCCTTTTAGGAGTTGGCAGAGCTAGCAGGACCCCTTACCCAGGCACCTGAAACCCCTGCCAGCATCTTGGAAATCTCCAATAATTCACCCTTGGGAAGACAAAATTCCCCTGACCAATGTTTTTTTTTTTTTTTTTTGTTTTCCCTGCTGGGGGAAGGGACATCCTTTTTGGCTTAGTATCTGGGATTCCCAGCTCCTGTCCTCAGAATGCAATCTCAAGGAACAAGAGGCACCAGGTTACAAGTTGCCATTCCAGGCCAAGCTTGAGGTTGGAGCTGCTGCCAGGGTGCCTGGATGCTGCCAAGGAGAAGAGAAGAGGAGTGACTAGTCTGGGGCACTCTTGGCCCAACAGACAGACAGACAGATAGGCGGCTGGCTGCCCCTAACACTTCCTCCTCTGTTGAGAAAGGGGAAGTGAGGGTTGGAGCCACCTCCCCAACACCTCCAGAATCCCCTAAGTCATCCTCACTGTCCTGCTTCATTTTGTCCTTCCATTCCCCAGACTCAGGTGGAGTTTGGTGGGGACTGGGTCAAGGGACACTGAAATAGGTGATTGTGTGTGATGGGCTGGCCAGTTGAGAACTTGGCCCCCAGGAAGAAGAAAGTACTGGCAGAGGCAGAATTCTCAGGGTGAGAATTGGAGGAACTGGGATTGCAGATCAGAGATGCTGGAGTGAATAGGGGTAGGGGATGCAGGGGTTGCTTTTTGGCAATGCAGGCGTCCTAATCCTCAATGGGCAAAGATACCCTCTGGGCTCAGTAAGTGGGAGAGGAGAGACCCTAGGTCTTTTGTACTCTGTGCCTGGATCACAGCCCCCAGGCCCAGAACCCCAACATTTTGAGAACTCCATGCAAGATCTCTATGACTGACCTTTGGTCCAGGGAGTGGGGATTTCTGACCGTGCTCTCTTTTGTTAGCCTCTCAATCCCAGCTTTACCATCTCTAGTTAGAGACAGGTGCTCTGTGTGTGTGTGTGTGTGAAAAAAGTGTCAGGAGTCCCCAGCCATCCCCAAGAGGAGGGGGTCACTTTTGTCCCTTGGAGGTGGCTGGGCTGTGGGAGGTGTGGAAGTGGAAGAGGAAGTGGGAGGAGGGGAGACTAAGGGAGAGAGGGAGGTGGCTGCAGGAATGTGACCCAGAGAGCAGGCCCTGGCCGAGGGGATTTCCAGAGCAGTTCCTCCCTCCCTCGTCACTCTCTCCTGGGCCTCTCTTGCTGCCTGCGGCCAAAGTCTGCCCCCCTCTTGCCTGAGCAGCCCCCTCCCCAGCCCAGACAGGCCTTTTAGCCAAGCTGCCCCATCATTAATGCCCCAAGGCAGCTGTCCAGGCCTAGACCTCCAGCTCTGGCTTTCGTTTTCCCCACCTGATGTGGGGAATCCCCAAGGCTGGAACTTCCCCTCCCAGCTGCCCCCCTTGCCCCTAGGTTAAGACTCTTGTCCCCCATCAAACATACATTTTCTGCACTCCACCAGCCTTCCCTTGAAGGTACAAACAAGACAGGATCTCCGATAGGTGCCATCCGAGGAGTGGCCCTCTTACTGGAAGGGCAGTAAGACAGGATCCTGCACTGTCTCTTTCCCCCATTCCAAGAGCTTGTTTCCCTCCCTGGAATGTGTGACATTGAGTTGCTGGGGGAACCCCACATCTGCCTCCTCCCATCCTCCCTGTTGTGGGGAGGTGGGGAGCTCAGCCTGGAAACCCCCTCTGCGTTCCTCCAGCAGCTTTCAGTTTGGCTTTGAGCTACCACTGGTCTGGCAGGGCCCTGGGGGCAGAGGGGAGTGGGGTGTAGGCAGGCTGGACAGGAAGGCCCTTGTCCTGTCAGCACCCTGCCTACATTGCCCGCCCAGCCAAGCCTTCCTCAGAGCCAGAGATGAGAACTTGGAGCTCCCACCCTCAGAATCCTAGCTTCCTGCACCATCCATCATTTCCTGGCCTAAACTCTCACTTCCTATACCTACTCTGTGGGTAGCTACTTTGAGGTTAATGCATTGGTTCCAAACCCAAGCCTCTCTGGCCTGGGACCTGACCCCAAACCTTTTTCCCCAGGCTGGTCCATCTGGCGGTGATTCATGAGGCCCCAGCAGTGCTGCTCTGTTGCCTGGCTTTGCTGCCCCAGGAGGTCCTGGACATTCAGAACAACCTTTACCAGGTGGGTGGAGAGGGCAGGTTATGCTCAGATGCCTGTGTGTGCCCTGGCAGCCATCCCCAGGAGCCATGTCAGGGTCCTCAGGCTCACTCAGGAAACCATCTGCCAAACACAGGGCCAGAAGCTGAGGATACAGAGATGAGTATCATATATGAGTAAGACATAGCCTCTGCCCACAAGGCATCACAGCCTGGGCCAGGGGATTCGCCATTACCTAATTATACACCATGATGACAAAAGTTGTGATGAAGTTTCATACCCCAGCTGCAGTGGAGTTCCAGTGTCTTTGTGGAGCAGGCAGGAAAGGCTTAGTATAAGAGGTGACATCTGAATGGAGCCATAGAGGAGAGGTCTGCCAGGGAGACTACCTGGTACCTCTGTGTTTCCTCCCCCAACCCAGCCTCTGCAGCCCAACTCCTGGGGATAACACAGGCATCTTCCCTCATGTCCTTTTTCTAGGGTTTGAGGGGACCTACAAGAAGAGCAGGGGACTACTTCCTTCACCCTACTTCCAGAGTCAGAGTCCCAAAAACCTGGTGGGGGGGGTGATAGAAGGAAGGGCTTAGAAGACCATGGTTATGGCCTTTATAAGCTACTTTCAAAGAAGGTGCTGGTAGCTAGTGATTGCTGTGCCACCCTGGCAGCTTCTCAGGTGGAAGCACGCAGTGGTGACCCTGTGACCCTCTGTTTGTGCCCACAGACAGCACTCCATCTGGCTGTTCATCTGGACCAGCCAGGTACAGTTCGGGCACTGGTGTTGAAGGGGGCCAGCCGAGTGCTACAGGACCGACATGGTGACACAGCACTGCATGTGGCTTGTCAGCGCCAGCATCTGGCCTGTGCTCGCTGCCTGCTAGAGGGGCAGCCAGAGCCAGGCAGAGAACCATCTCATTCCCTGGATCTCCAGCTGCAAAACTGGCAAGGTACGAGCAGCCCAAAGACCTGTGAGATGAGGAGGGTCCCACTCTCAGGCAAGGGAGGGTCCTAGTTTGTTCACTGATGTTACTCCAGCTCTAAGCTCATGGGTACTCAGTACATCTTCACTAGACGAAGGAATAAACAAGTGAATGAATAAATTATTTGACTCACAATTTAATCAACCAAGCAGAAATCTAAATGTCAGTCTTATCCTTAAGATACTTAATTTAGGTTAGGCACCCTAGCTACTCAGGAAGGAGATCCTCCTGCTGGAGGATTGTAGTTTGAAGCCAGCCTGGCCAAATAGTTCAAGGGACCCTATCGCAAAAAAACCCACACCAAAAAGGAGCTGACAGTGTGGCTCAAGCAGTAGAGTGCTTGGGTAGCAAGCATGAATCCCTGGGTTGAAACCACCACCACCAAAAAAAAAAAAAAAATTAATAGAAATTAGATGGACTCGTTAATTCATTCAGCAGAAATGTACTTAGGGCCTTCTGTGTGCCAGATATTATCATAGGAACTGGGCTTCTATCTGTGAACAAAACTGAGAAAGACTGAGACAGACAATCAGTATACGAAGTGAATTATATAGTGTGTTAAAAGGAAGTGAGTGCTGTGGTAGAGCAGAGGGAATGTGGGGGGTGGGAGAGTTGATGTAGGTTTTAAACAGGGGGCTCAGAGAAGGCCTTATCGAGTCCAGAACCCTAAACAGAGAATTGAAGGAGATGAAGGATACAAATTTGTACCTAAAACTCTATTACACACTGGGTGTGGGAGGGAGATCCAGTTGAAAAAGGGGGGTGGGAAAGCCAGGGGAGCACCCAAGAACACAAGAGAAAGTGACCCCTGGGGAGAGGGTGGGGGCATGAAGATCCATAGACTGGGCTTGAAGCCAGGCAGAGGCCTAGCGTCCGGGTTGGGGATGTGTGTTTGGGGCTGTCACTTAGCAGCCTGACCCCTGAAGCATGAAAGTTTCAATAACATGACTCTGAAAAGGTGGAAACTTTGAGTTCCTTTCCCTTCAGACTTGCGAGGGGGATTTTGGGGTTGCATCTTAATCGTCCTGTAATTAGAGGCATTGAGTTGGGCAGGGGTCCCTTGGGGCTGAGAGGTAGGGAGGCCCCTTCAGAGAGGGGGGCCAAAGGATGTCAATCAGCAGCTTCCACAATACCCCACCCCAGGTCTGGCCTGTCTCCACATTGCCACCCTACAGAGGAACCAGCCACTTATAGAACTGCTGCTTCAGAATGGAGCTGACATTGACGTGCAGGTGAGGCCACCAATCAGGGCACTGCCCAGCCCACTGCCTGCCCCCCACCTGGTCTTGCCCCAGGTCACCTGCCCACATCAAAAGTGGTGGCACTCACCACCTTCTCAGAGCCCAGGCCCAGCACACTGCCTCTTGGGAGCCATGGCTGACATCCTTATTCCTTCTCAGGAGGGCACCAGTGGGAAGACTGCCCTACACCTGGCTGTGGAAACCCAGGAGCGCAGTCTGGTGCAGTTCCTTCTCCAGGCTGGTGCCCGGGTAGATGCCCGCATGCTCAATGGGTGCACACCCCTACACCTGGCAGCCGGCCGTGGCCTCAGAGGCATCTCATCCACTCTGTGTGAGGCTGGTGCTGATTCCCTGCTGCTGAACGTGGAAGATGAGACACCCCAGGACCTGGCTGAGGATGTAAGAGGCATAAGCTCAACTCCATTCTGCTCTGCAGGGCCTCCCACACTACAGCAAGGATAGGCACTGTCATCAGCTAGAAGCCAAGGAATTAAGAGTCCTGGAATGTCACTTACCAAGTGTGGCTCCTTGAGCTGCTCTTTGCCCCTCTCTGAGCCTGTTTCCTTAGTTGGTCAGGACTGGGGCCCAAACATGGACTCTTATGGGGTTTTGCAGCTGAAGTGAATCAGAGAAGCTGGCCAGGTATAAGACAACCTGGTAGGAAGCCTGAGAGAAACCACAGAGCTGGAGTCTGCACTTAGCTTCAGCAAGTACTGCAGCACAGGAATGCAGGCTCCATGTTTCCAGTCTTGGAATGTTTTTCCCTTTTTTTTTTTTTTTTTGGGTTTGAACTCAGGGCCTGGCATTTACTAGGCAGGTGCTGTACCATTTGAGTGATGCCCTCAGCCCCAGGTCTTGAATTGTTTTGAAAAATGAAACCCAGATTTTCTGTACAGTCCTCCCTATTTTTATTTATTTATTTATTTATTGTGGTACTGGCATTCGAATTCAGGGCCTACACCTTGAGCCACTCCACCAGCCCTTTTTTGTGTTGGGCTTTTTTGAAATAGGGTCTTACAAACTGTTTGCTCAGGCTGGCTTCGAACCACAATCCTCCTGATCACTGCCTCCTTAGTAGCTAGGATTATAGGCGTGAGCCACCACTGCCTGGCCAGTCCTTCCTATTTTTAAATGATCAATGTAAAAAAACATTCAAAATGCTTTATGAGTATGCTTCCTGCACTGCCTCAACAACAACAAAAAATAGGACCATGAACTGGATTATCTCTAATGTCCCTCTCCTAGCTGAGATATTCTGAATTATTATTTTTTTTTTTTGTGGGCCCAGGTTTGAACTCAGGGCTTTGCACTTGGGAAGCAGGCACTGTACCCCTTGAGCCACACCTCCATTCAATTTTGCTCTGCTTATTTTGGAGATGGGTTGTCATGAACTAGTTGTCTAGGCTGGCCTCAACTCAATCCTCCTGGTCTTAGCCTCTCAGTTAGCTAGTATTACAGACGTGAGCCACCAGTGCCCAGCCCCTGCATTATTTTAGAGAATGAGGCTTGCCTAAGACCTTAGGTCTCTGCCGTGCCCACATTAACCACAGTTTGGGGAATTAGTCTGAAAATGTGTTCCCTGATGTTCTTGGAAAGGGAAAGGAGTGACGTGAAAGGTTTCCCTAGTCCTCTCCTCCATCCTGGGTTTTCCCTTGGCCCCTGATCTATCTTGCTTTTCTCAATTCTCTTCTCAGCCCCTTACTCTCTTGCCCTTTGATGATCTGAAGATCTCCGGGAAGCCACTGCTGTGTACTGACTGAAGCCAGGCAGGGTCTGGAGCTCTGAGGTGGGGGCTCTACCTCCTCCCATCTGGAAGCTGGAGCCACAGCTGCTGCAGTTTGGGCCCATGCAATGTGCCCTTCTGATGTCCTAGGATTGTGAGGCCAGAGCCTGGGGCCAGTACAGTCCTGAGCTGAGAGGAGGGGTTGCAAGGAAGACAGAGCCAGTCTGAACAGAAGAGCTTCCCAGGAGGATTGCCGGAGATTCTTGGAAGACCCCTCAAAGCCCCAGGTATCCTGGGGGAAGCCTGTTTGCCTCTGTTGAAAACAGCAGGGGCTCTCTTGTTTCTACCCATGTTGGATCAGCCTGAAACTGCCAAGCAGTAGGAAAACATGGACGCTTCTGAATGAGAAGGGACTGATACAGGAGCAGGGCCCTTGAGGGGTCCCACCTAAACACTGATGTCTAAAGACTTCATACACAAAGCCCTGAACTTTGGGAAGGGACATTTCAGTAACATGACACTAAAATGGCAAAGACTTAAAAAATGGTTTCCCTTCTAGGGTTGTGACCTTGGCAGAGATAGAGGCAGAGAGAAGGAAACTGGCCTCTGAGCAGGGTTGGGCTTCGATGGGTGGTGTAGTGGGGCAACAAGTTCTCAGGCCTGTTTCTAAGTAGGATAGATCCTTATAAGCCTTTCTGTTGGAAGTGCTGAGGGATAAAGGGTTAGCAGGGGGAAGAGAAGTGCAGGCCCTGGAGGCTGCCATCTGGAGGAGGCTGGGCTGGAGAGCTGCAGCTCCACACTTTCCTCCCATTTCACACATCAGCATCATGCTGGCATGAAGAACCTGGAGGGATAAGCCCACATGGTCTCTGACCCTTACAGCTTCTGGTTTACTCAGCAAGACAGCCATTAAAATCATAAAACATCCAGATACGTCATTACAAGTTGCAATGGGTACTGTGAAGGAAAATACTAGTGGGAAGGAGGACAATGAAATGGGTGGACCACCATACTCCAGGGATACCTCTAACAAGTGTCATCTTAATTCAGGACATAGGATCAGCAAGGAATAGGGCGGAGCATTCGGGGGAGGAAGGCCTTCGGTGAGTTAGGGGAACTGAGAGCAGGGCTCTACAAGGGGTGAATGAGTGGGCGAGAAAGATGGGCCAGGTCATGCAGAGCCTCGGAAGTCACGGGGACAGGGGGACAGAACTGTTGGCCCGGTGAAAAAAGGAAACATCATCCTGTCCGAAAACCTAAGTGGGAAGTGTAGGGACTCAGAGCCTCAGTGTCCTGGTCCACGAGGTGGCAGTGGTCACCACTGTGTCCGGGATAGCTGCGAGGGCTGAAGGCGATGACGTGGACCGGCGCCCGGGAAGGGCATCTCCGGGGGTTCCCCGCTAGCCTCCCTGGAAGCCCGGCGCCGGGCACCGAGCTGCGTCTACCTCCGGGCCGCGCGGGGGCGCTGTGGCCCGGCGGCGGCGCTGGCGAGCGTGATTGCGGCAGGGGCGGAGGGAGGGAGCGGGAAGAGCGCGGCACTTCCGCTGGCCGCTGGAGCGCTCGCTGGCTGCCGGAGGAGGCGGCGGCGGGAGCGGAGGGAGCGCGCGGCCCGGGAACTCGCATTCCCCGGCCCCCTCCGCCCCACGCGGCCCGGCCATGGACGCCAGGTGGGGGGCTAGGGTAGCGTCGGCCCACGTGACCGTGCCCCCGGGCCACGTGACCGCCTGGGCACGGGGGGCGGGTGGGGTCCCCTCCGCTGTGCCGCCAACCCGCGCGGCACTGCCCAGAGCCGGCGATCTGGGGACACGGCGTGGCCTCGTGCTTCTTGCGGGGCTTCGGGAGGATGGCGAAGGGGCTGGGGACCCTGGTGCTCCGGGGAGGGGGAGGGGGCGCCGCCTCTGGCCTGAGTAGCCTGCGCGCGCTGGAGGGAACAGAAGGGACCTGTGTGGCGGAGGGGCGGGTCTGGCCAGCGCCAAACCCCCCAAGAGAGAGAGGCTCTTTGTCCGGCTGGGCTGCAGTAGAGGGGGCGGGGAGGAGACTGGGCACTTCTCCAGTGCGGTTTCCCCCGCAGGGCCGAGGGGTTGAAGAACTATAGCTGCGCCCTAATCGTTGCGTCCCCTGTCCGGCAGGTGGTGGACACTGGTGGTGCTGGCCGCGCTCCCCTCTCTGGGGGCAGGTGGGGAGACTCCTGAAGCCCCTCGGGAGTCCTGGACCCAGCTGTGGTTCTTCCGCTTCTTGGTGAATGCTGCTGGCTATGCCAGTTTTATGGTACCTGGCTACCTTCTGGTGCAGTACTTCAGGCGGAAGAACTACCTGGAGACAGGTACGTGGAGAAAGGGTGGGGAAGTAGACTAGGTCCGGTTTGCAAGTGTTGACCGCCATTCAAGACGAACTGTGACTTGGAAAGGGAGGAGGGTAGAAGGGAGGCCGTGAGGCCGGGGTGGGACAGCAAGCTAGGCTAGCTGCTGTGGGGAAGATGAGGTGCTATGGAAGTGGTTTGGGGCTTGACTTTGTGTGCCTTCTACAGGCAGGGGTCTCTGCTTCCCCTTGGTGAAAGCCTGTGTGTTTGGCAGTGAGCCCAAAGCCTCTGATGAGGTTCCCCTGGCTCCCCGGACAGAGACAGCAGAGACAACCCCTTCTTGGCAGGCCCTGAAGCTGCTCTTCTGTGCCTCAGGGCTCCAGGTAGGTTAGCGGGCTCTGCTTCTCTTCCTGAACTGGATACTGATGGACAGGGACCTGGTGAAACCTAGATTTTCATCCTGCCCATCCCAAGGGTTTGCTGACCTGTCCCCCTCCTCCCAGGGACAAACACCACCACCCTCCTGGAGGTGTTTGAAGATGTGGTCTTTTTCCTCCTCCCCTTTCTCTAATACTGGTACTGAAAGGTGGCAGTGCACTATTGTTTCAGAGTGTCTACTGCCGAGGTGTCTCATCCACTCTTCTGCATTTTCTCCTGTGCTCCCCCCACCCCCAACACATACACTAACGAGTCTCATACACTGTAAACCCACTGATAGAAGTGGAAGGGAGAGTGTTCAGTACCGTGGTGAGGTGTGCGCTAAGGTACTGGCCATGCAGCATTTGGGAGTTGGTAGCCCACCTTGCATACTATGACAGGTGTCCAGTCCTCTCTAAGGATTCTTGCCTTCTGGAGTTGATTGAAAATGGATAGGAAAGTACTTTGGCTGGAACCAGCTCTAACATGCCCATACTGCTGGGGACAGTCAGGGTATGGGCAGCCCTAAGCATGTGTTACTGAGTTTTTCACCACACTTGATTTCCCTACAAGATGAATCCAGACTTGGGAGGAAGAGGAAACTTGTGTTACAGAGAAACCAAACTACACGTTGTCCTTTAAATTACTTGGAAATCATCCTGAGGAAGAGGGAAGTTGCTGAGACCTGCTTCTAAATTTTCCTTGTCTTGCTTATTGTCTCTTTGTCTCCACCCTCCCTGACCCAGGCGTCTTACCTGACTTGGGGGGTGCTACAGGAAAGAGTAATGACCCGCAGCTATGGGGCCACAGCTTCATCACCAGGTGAGCGCTTCACAGATTCGCAGTTCCTGGTGCTAATGAATCGCGTGCTGGCACTGATCGTGGCTGGCCTCTACTGTGTCCTCTGCAAGCAGCCCCGTCACGGGGCACCCATGTACCGGTATTCCTTTGCCAGCCTGTCCAACGTGCTTAGCAGCTGGTGCCAATATGAAGCGCTCAAGTTTGTCAGCTTCCCCACCCAGGTGCTGGCCAAAGCCTCCAAGGTGATTCCGGTCATGCTGATGGGAAAACTGGTGTCTCGGCGCAGCTATGAACACTGGGAGTACCTGACAGCTGGCCTCATCTCAGTTGGGGTCAGCATGTTTCTGCTGTCCAGCGGACCAGAGCCCCGCAGCTCCCCGGCCACTACTCTCTCAGGCCTCATCTTACTGGCAGGCTACATCGCTTTCGACAGCTTCACTTCAAACTGGCAAGATGCCCTGTTTGCCTATAAGATGTCATCGGTGCAGATGATGTTTGGGGTCAATTTCTTCTCCTGCCTCTTCACAGTTGGCTCGCTGTTAGAGCAGGGGGCCCTCCTGGAGGGGACCCGCTTCATGGGGCGACATAGTGAGTTTGCTGCCCATGCCCTGCTGCTCTCTGTCTGCTCCGCGTGTGGCCAGCTCTTCATCTTCTATACCATCGGGCAGTTTGGGGCTGCTGTCTTCACCATCATCATGACACTCCGCCAGGCCATTGCCATTCTCCTCTCCTGCCTCCTGTACGGACACACTGTCACTGTGGTGGGGGGACTGGGGGTGGCTGTGGTCTTTGCTGCCCTCTTGCTCAGAGTCTATGCCCGGGGCCGTCAAAAACAACGGGGAAAGAAGGCTGTGCCCATTGAGACTCCTGTACAGAAGGTCTGACTGAAGCGAGGTCCCTCACCACCAGTGTTCTACGCTTCTCCTACCGAACCTCTGGCTCAAGGGCAGAACATGGGTTTTCTCAGTATCAGGACCAGCTCTGCAGCTGGGGGTGGGAGCCCAGGAGGCAGCCTTCGCTTTTGCCTTAAAGACAACCCCTCCCCACTCTCCAGGAGGCTAGGGTAGCGGTGACAGTATGGAGGGAGGATGCCAAGTGGGCCAAGGTACCTAACAGGGCTCTTACCCCATCAAGCTCCCTTTAGTGTTGGCCTAGCTGTTGCCTCTGCCACCAGCACCTCCCCCTGTGCTTGTCCCCTTACACAAACTCCCAGGCACTGCACTTCTTACTCTGGGAGAGAAGCACAACTGTAGGTCCCAAATGCTGCTTCCCCAGGAGGCAAGTGAGGATGGTGCTGTGCTAGGGAAGGGGCAGCCCCACCCAACAGCTCTGCTTTATGAGCCAACTGCAGGTTTTGGTACTTTGGAAACATCACTTTTTGCTTTATTTTATTAAATGTGCTGCAAGACTTGGTTGTGATTTGGTTGGTCTTTAGGGGAGTGACTTGTCAGCTGGGTATCTATGGACCTTGACCTAGCAAGCTTCACTTGTACTTGCTGTATGACAGATTGCAATGTACAACAGCAGCACCTAGGGGACATAGGAAGTATGGCAACATCCACTTTACAAGGGAGAGCAGAACTGTATAAAACTGCATCTTCTTTATTTTGCATACTTTAATTTCAGAACAAAATAAAAACACATTACACAACACCCAACCCTGCTGTCAAGATGAGAGAGGGGCCAAGACCTTTGGCCCCTCTTTCCTGCCTTACACACAAGGACAGGAGGAAGAAACAAAAACACTAGGCATCAGCAGAGGGAGCCAGGCAGGACAGGACCATTCAAGGCTGTTATGGAGTTATGGGGACACTATACAGAGGGCACAGGTTTCCAAATGGGAATCGGAAGGCGCCTAATCTACTTCTTCCATGCGAGAGGCGTCCTCATCTCCCTCAAGTGGGGGGATCTCATCAGGAACAGCAGTGCTGGGTTCCTCAGCTGTCACCTCATCCTCATCAATGCCTAAATGGAAAAAAGGCAACAGCATTAAATCAAGTCCGCCCGAGAAGCCAGTTCCACAAGTTGCCACCCACAGCTCACAAGGCTAGGGGCTTGCTTACCCAGGCCTAGCTTGATCATGCGGTAGATGCGGTTGGAGTGGGTCTGGGGGTCCTCTAAGGAAAAGCCAGAGGACAGCAGTGCAGTTTCAAACAGGAGCACCACCAGGTCTTTGACAGCCTTGTCGTTCTTGTCTGCCTCAGCCTTCTGCCTCAGTGTCTCCACAATGGGGTGATCGGGGTTGATCTCCAGGTGCTTTTTGGCCATCATGTAGCCCATTGTAGAGTTGTCTCTAAGTGCCTGGGCCTTCATGATCCTCTCCATGTTGGCTGTCCAGCCATAGGTGCTGGTCACAATGCAGCAGGGAGAAGACACAAGCCTATTGGAGATTGTCACCTGTGGATAATCACAAATGGTTTATACATAGCATGGTAGGGTGACAAAATCTGTAGTCCCAACTACTGCAGAGACAGGCAGAAGGGTTTCTGGAGCCCAAGGCTTCAGACTGTCACAACAAAACACCTTAGAGCTACATTACATGGGCTGATCACTTCAGTGGTATTTTCAAGTTTTTACTCTCACCAAGAGTTAATGAAATATACTTCTCAAGTTTTACAGAAACCATAGCCTTCAATCTGGCTGGGGGACAGCAGAGTGGCTCTAGTGGTAGAGCACCTGCCTGACAAGTGTGAGGCCCCAAGTTCAAGTCCTAGTACTGTGCAAAAAACCAAAAACTGGCTATGGAAAGAACAAAAGTTAAACAGGCTTTAAACAGAGACCAGCTGTACAGCAACATGGAACCTGACTGAAGTAAGTGGTCCAAAAGATATAGGTAACAAAACACATCCTAGTTCCTGAACAGCTCACCTTCTCAACCTTCTTATCCAAGATTTCTTTCATGAGCTTGCAGAGGTTCTCAAACTTAGCCTTGCTCTCTTCCATTTTCTTCTTCTCCTCCTCATCCTCAGGCAGCTCCAGGCCCTCCTTGGTCACAGACACCAGGCTCTTCCCATCAAACTCCTTCAGCTGCTGCACGCAGTACTCATCGATAGGCTCGGTCATGTACACCACCTCAAAGCCACGCTTCCGCACCCGCTCTACGAAGGCGGAGTTGGCCACTTGCTCTTTGCTCTCACCTGTAAGATGGGTTATTAACTATGACTTCGACTGAAAGACCTTCTACTGCCAAGTTCCCTGAGGTGTCCCCTCCACTTCCTGCTGCCATCCAGCCAAGGCAGCTTTGATCAGACTAAGCTCCAACTCACCTGTGATGTAGTAGATAGACTTCTGAGTCTCCTTCATACGAGAGACATACTCTGACAAGGAAGTCATCTCATCTCCAGACTGAGAGGTGTGATAGCGCAGCAGCTCAGAAAGCCGTCGTCGATTGGTGGAGTCCTCATGAATTCCAAGCTTGAAGGGCGGGAAGAGAAAAAAACCATTTCACCTTTTACTCTACCAGTGGGAAAATACACCACCGTGGAGCAGTCAAGGGAGTAAGCATTCTCCTTACTTTTAGATTCTTAGAGAATGCCTCATAGAACTTCTTGTAGTTCTCCTTGTCTTCTGCCAGCTCAGAAAAGAGCTCAAGGCACTTCTTCACAATGTTTTTGCGGATGACTTTCAAGATTTTGCTCTGCTGGAGCATTTCTCTGGAGATGTTCAGGGGCAAGTCCTCAGAATCAACCACACCACGAATGAAGTCTGCAACCAACCAGGACCCAAAGCTCAGTACCCCAGCACTGAGCCTGGTCACCCTCATGCAAACAAAACAGCTCTTTGTTCCTCCCCCCAAACCATCACTTGCTGTGCTAAAGGACCATTAATTATTCATGTAAGACTTCACGCCCAGTTGAATGTCGAAGACCAACTGGATTACACCAAGGACACTCACTCAGATACTCTGGTATCAACTCATCACAGCTATCCATGATAAACACACGGCGGACATAAAGTTTGATATTGTTCTTCTTCTTTTTGTTCTCAAAAAGGTCAAAGGGAGCCCGTCGGGGAATGAAGAGCAATGCCCTGAATTCCAGCTGACCTTCTACAGAGAAGTGCTGAAAGAAAGAAACCCCAAACAGGTGAGCAGTACACTTTCAGACAAGAGTGCCTTGATCCCAACACCAAAGCATCTGTAACCAGAACAACGATCCGCCCCAAGCTCTAGGGACAGTAGGGTACTACAAGCAGCTCCTAAGGAAACTGGGCCCTAGCTGGGTGCTGATGGCTCACACCTGTAACCACAACTACATGGGAAGCTGAGATCAGGAGGTTCAAGGCCAGCCTGAGCAAGTAGTTCATGAAAATGCCACCAAAATGCTGGAGGTGTGGCTTTGCAAGCAGGGAGCCCTGAGTTCAAATCCCAGCCTCACACACACAAAACAAACCCTAATGCCACAAATCTAGAATGCTAACTAGCTGTGTACAATCCTTGGGTGAACAAAAGGTGCCTCCAACCAGAACCCTGGTTGCCATAGCATCATGGAGATTTATCAGAAAGTGAAGTCACTGGGAAGGTTGGGATTTCTTCAGTGTGGCAGCAATTCTAACCAGCAAATCCACACGGCACTGCAGCTTCCAGGTCACAGCTACCAACCAGTTAGGGCAGTTCTGTGTGCCTACCACCTCCCAATACACTTCTAACCTCCTCTCTCTAGTTTTGACAACATGCAAGGGAAGAATTCTTACCTTAACTGCCAAGTGGTCTTCCCAGTCATTAGTGAGGCTCTTGTAGAATTCTCCATATTCTTCCTGAGTAATATCATCAGGGTTTCTGGTCCAAATGGGCTTGGTCTTGTTCAGTTCTTCTTGATCAATGTATTTCTCCTTAATCTTCTTGGTTTTCTTTTTCTTATCCTTACCACTGTCATCTTCCTCATCTGAACCCACATCTTCAATCTTGGGCTTCTCCTCATCATCCTTATCTTCCTCCTCTTTCTCACCTTTCTCTTCCTCTGCCTCATCATCACTGATCTCCTTCTCCCGTTCCTTTTCCAACTAAGATGCCAAATTCAACAGAGTAAATTTTGGAGGACTCAACACCAGAAAAGCAAAGTTAAGAGGCCATTGAGTCTCCAGAACAGGAGACACAAAGCATATTCAAGGTTATCAGCCCACACTCACATAGAGGGTGATGGGATAGCCAATGAACTGCGAGTGCTTCTTCACCACTTCTTTGACCCGCCTCTCCTCTAAGTACTCTGTCTGATCTTCTTTGAGGTGGAGGATCACTTTGGTACCTCGGCCAATGGGCTCACCTAAAAAAAGTGATCACAAATGTGAGACTAAATACTCAAGACCGCTACAACATGCCCACCTCTGCCCTCCCCCAGAATTCTACCCCTCAAGTTGGAACACCAACTCACCATGGTCAGCACGCACAGTGAAGGATCCCCCAGCAGAAGACTCCCAGGCATACTGTTCGTCGTCATTGTGCTTTGTGATCACCACCACTTTCTCTGCCACCAGGTAAGCAGAATAAAACCCAACACCAAACTGCCCAATCATAGAGATGTCTGCACCAGCCTGCAAAAAGTGTTTTAAAGTCAAACTCAAGTTCTGAAAAAAAAATAGCAAGCAGAAACACTGATGAATGTGCATAGTATATACGTATATGAAATTCCACTACCTGAAGAGCCTCCATAAATGCTTTTGTACCAGACTTGGCAATGGTTCCCAAGTTATTTATGAGGTCAGCCTTGGTCATGCCAATGCCAGTGTCCACCAAAGTCAGAGTGCGTTCCTGAGGGTTCGGGATGATGTCAATTTTCAGCTCTTTACCACTGTCCAACTTGGAAGGATCTGTCAGGCTCTCATAGCGAATCTTGTCCAAGGCCTGTAAAAAACAATAAATACAAATATCTGCCTTTCTCTTCATCCAAAAGAAAACCTGGTTTCCACTATTAAACAGCCAAAATTCCTACTGTTCCCTTAAGGTTTAAGAATCATACCATAGTCTTAGCTTGTCACTAGTGGCTCACACCTGTAATCCCAGCTACTTACTCAGGAGGCAGAGATCAAGTTGGAGGCCAGACTGGGCAAAATGAAAGTTAAGACACTTATCTCCAGTATCTCAAAAATACCCAACACAGCCAGCCATTGGCTCATGGCTGTAACCCTAGCTACGCAAGAGATAGAGATCAGGAAGATTGGGCTCAAAGGCATTCCAGGCATGTAGTTTGAGAGACCATCTCAAAAATACCCAACACAAAAAACAGGCTGGCAGAGTGGCTGAAGTGGTAGTGCCTGCCTAGCAATTACGTCCCAGTTCAAAGCCCGGTACTACCAAAAAAGAAAAAAATAACCAGTTAGCCCTCTTGTCCAGGACACAAGGACCTCACCTTTCAAATTTAGGATTGGCAAAGTAAGGTAAATCTTTCAGGATCAGCTGCTGGTTTATCCCCTTCCATAGTAACCCCCACCAAATGTTACACCACTCCTCCCTCTTAAAAACCCAATTAAGAGCAGAACACTCACATCAGAAGCATTGGAGATCAACTCCCGAAGGAAAATTTCCTTGTTGGAATAGAATGTATTGATGATGAGAGACATGAGTTGGGCAATTTCTGCCTGAAAGGCGAAAGTCTCCACCTCCTCCTCTCCATGGTGCACTTCCTCAGGCATCTGAACATAAAATGACCAGCGATTACAAAGGAACGTGATGGTGGTGGTCCCTTATTAAATAATCCCAATGTTCATCTCAATTTCAATTAAAACCTCATCCAGACATCTAGTTCAAACTGCTCTGAACTACTCATTCCCAAGAGACCGAAAACGCCACCTCTTCTTAAGACCTTAAGCTTACACACAAAGTGGGAAGCCAGTTCAGAATGGAAGAAACCTAAAGCGTTCTTCACCCAAATGCAACCAACCGTTGGGAAAACATCTGATAACATGGTGACCAACAGTCAGCATCACCTGTTAGCTTGCTTCAATTTCTGCACCATCAACACCAGGTAACCCCTGTGTACCTTTGAGATGTGACAATTACTAGGGCCCAATCTTTTTAATTTGGGAAGACAGAGCTTTGCAAAAACAGCACTGGCTTTTAGGTAGGTGCCACTGAGCTAGTGTACTGCTCCATCCAGCTGGGCAAGTAAACGCTGGAGCGCGCAGCGGGGCAATCACATCACGACAAAGGGCCGCCGAGGCTCCAGCAAGCCGTGCAAACTGAGAACACATTAAGATGGTGGCCGAAGCAGCCTGCCGACCCTCATCACTGCCAGACATGCGTCGGCAAGGGCCACACGAGGAGGGGGCGCCACCGTGCACCCTCCCTCTCCCCAGCATCCGGGCACTGGGGCGGGGCGTCAGGCTGCAGAAGCTTCCAGAACAATCTCAGCTCTCCAGGAGGGGCGGGGGAGGGAGCCTTGAATCTCCCGGAGCCTGCCCCCTCCCCGCCGCTCCTCCTCCACAGGGAAAGATCTGGAAGAACCGCGGTGGGCCGAGCAAACCAGAAGCGTCCCTCCCCATGGGACCCCCCCCCCAAACAAAGCGCCCTAAAGACGCATGAAACGCATTCGCTCGATGGGGCGGCTGGCAGGCGGGCCACGCCGGGCCATGCTGAGTCACCACGAACGCGCACCTTCCCGCCCCCTGTAGCCGCGTCCGGAAGTGGAAGGCAAATATGGCAGCGTCCCAGGCTGGCGCGGCCACCACGTGCGGCCGCCCACCACCCCGTCCCCGCCCCGAGGCCCACCTTGCCCGCGACCAGCCGGCGCCTGGGGTGAGCCCTGCCGCGGGGCGACGCTAGGAAGAATGGAAAGTAGGATCACAAACCGCGCCTTCCACCGCCACCCGGGAAGCATTAGGATTAATTGCCCCAAAGGCCTTCCCGGTCTGGCGGCGCCAGCAATGTTCCCCACGAAAGAAAGAGTCCTCCAGAGAGAGAGGCCTGCGGACGGAGGCTGCGGCCTTACCTTGAAAAGAAAGGGCTGCAAGCTCTACACAGCAGCGTGGGCCCGGACCGAGTCCGACTCGCACTCAGCGCCTAGGCTGCGCGGGGGTGACTCAAGAGAGCTAGTGTGCGGCCCCGACCGCCCTTTATAAGGCGAAGCACATCCCGGCGCCCTCCCCGGATCCCTCCGCCTTAAAGGAGCATGCCCAGCAGCCCCGCACCTGCCGCCGCCCGCCCTCCTTGACGTCATGGCCCGGAATCGGGGAGGGGGCGGGGAAAAGCCGCGGTCTGCTGTGGGTCCATTCACACATTTGTTCCCGTTCGCTGCCTTATCTGTGCACGCCAGGACATGACCGCACCGAGATTAGGCATCCGGCATGCTTATAGGATATAAATGGTGTTTTTTCAGGCGAGTTCCCCATTGACTCCTCCACCCCTCCCGAAACCTGGCTCCTCCACACCCTGGAGGCCGTCCCTGGGGGAAACGTGAAGAAAGCAGAGGAACCTAACCACCTGAACTGCCGCTCCCAGACCCAGTCATCCTAGCCTTTGCTCTACACATCACATGTCTTTCACAACGGGACAATGCGTTGCCAACTTTAGGCAGCCCGGAGCCGGGCCCCCTCCCGACCAGGGAAAGGACGGACAGCTGGGAGCGGGGCGTAGCTCCCACTCGGGGGAGGGGCTGGCGGACTCTTTGCCTGAATGCAGCGGAAGGAGCTGCCGCGGCGGTGCTGCGACACTTCCAGCAGTTTCCAGGCCGGTCTCGGCGGTCCCGCCCTCTCCCCCTCCCACTCCCCCTCGTCCCCACTCCAAGCTCCACCTCTCCCACTGCGGCGGGCAGAGTCTTCACGACTGCTGGGCCCTGCGCTGGGTGCTGCCCAGGCAAGGAGCGGTTGGATGCCCGGTCCTTCTGGCCTCGCTGCTGTGAACGGGGCCGTGGGAGCCTCGCATGCCTGGAGAGGGTGTGCGGCGTAGAGGGAGGGCCCTCCCTCCCCGATCAGTCACACATCCCTGGGCAGCTGGGTGGCTCAGCGGGCACCCCTTTCAGCGGGATCGCTATCGGAGACCCACCCCAGCTTCTGCGGCCGCCCACGTACACGGAGCTCAGGGACCTGCGCCTTCCCTACACAGGCACGCCAAGCTGTTCCTCGAGCTGGTTTCATTTTGCTAGTTTCTTCCCTCCTGCAGCTGCTTGGATCTCGGGAGGGGAAGGACCCCCAAGGACCTTTGCAGGGCGGATGGAGCTGTAGGAGGGCTCATGAAGACGCTTGCCACAGGGCGGCTAGAACGAAGTTGTTCTTCAGCCTTGGCGCCAAGGCCCTTAGGCTATGAGCCGGCCCTGGGAACCGGCCCGCCAAGCCCGGTCTGGCTCGGCCACTCTGCGTGCCTTGCAGCTGGCAAGCTGTCCTTACCTTTCCCAGGTCTTGTCTGGAAGCCTGCTGGACTGGTGGCCCCTCTGTGCACTGTAAATGTCCATCTAGTTTCCTAGTCCACTCTGTGCAACCCCAGGGAGAGGTTCCCCAACCATATTCACCCAAACCTTCCTCACCGCGCTGGCATGCAGCCCACCTTCTCTAAGGTGGGCTTGGTTTGTTGTTGAGTAAAGAAAACAAAGGAGGACCCCTAATTGCCTCTTCCTTGCGCTCTTTTTCCACTTGGTCTGTTATGCCTGCCAGCAAGCACCCCCATTTATGCGCTCTTTCATTATGGTGTGGGAGAAGTCCATGAGTATAGACAGGCTCATTGGGTGCTGTGCCAAGAACCCATACACACCCTGGGGTGCTGGTCCTGACGAAAATCTCAAACCAGGAGCATCATCCCCTCCACATGCCTTCTCCCTTTGCACAGAAGGGACCTAGCTAATTAAAAATCTGACCGCGCTGGTGGTTTACACCTGTGATCCTAGTTATTTGGGAGGCAGAGTTCAGAAGCATCAAGGTTCAAAGCCAGGGTCTCTAGTTCCAGAAATCCTACGTCAAAAAACCCGTCACAAAAAAATGGCTGACAGAGTGGCTCAAGTGGTACCAGCGCCTACCTAGCAAGCGAGAAGCCCTCATTTCAAACCCCAGTGCTATGCCAAAAAAAAATCTGTTCCCTGGACTGGGGGATTGATCTCAGTGGTCCAATGTCCAGTCCTTGCCCAACACAGGCCAGACCCTGGGTTCTTACTGTCCTGTGAGCAGGTGACAGTGAGTCTGGAAAGTGAAGGCTTTAGTGACTACCAGGTTTACTCAGCCATGAGTCTTTTCTGCTACAGGAGTGGAATGAATGGAGCTTACGTTCCCTCCCCTCTCCCCACTGGGTTTTGAACTCAGGGCCTCATTTGCTTAGGCAAGTGCTCTTACCTCTTGAACCACTTGCCAGCCCTTTTTTTGAAATGAGTTTATTCAAGATAGGGTCTCTTGAACTATTTGCCTGGGCTGGCTTCAAACTGCCATTCTCCTGGTGTGAGTCACTGGCACCCAGCTGTTTTATTTGGTGGGACAGGGGTTTGAATTCAGGGCTTCATGCTTCCAAAACAGATGTTCTATTGCTTGAGCCACACCTCTAGTCCGAGAAAATCCAACTCTTGTGCCAGCACAGAAATTCCATTTTCTCTTCAGGGAAGCCATTCAGCCTGTGTCCAGAAACCCCATCCTCCCAATCCCTAATTCCCACCAGGAGCCGTGCCTGGGGATGCAAATATGTGCAGGGAAGGCAGGAAAACCCTCTGCTGCCGCAGGCCACATGTGAGCATGGCAGTGTGGGAAAGCAGCAGAGACCCTGCTCATCTTGGGAAAGGGCAGGCTTAGGACCCTGACTAGCCAGACCACAAACATGTCTCCCCAGAGGGAAAAGCATGGAAATGCACAGAGACTCAGAGGGACCCTAAAGGAATCAGGAGGAGCTGAAAGTGATCCCACAGGCAGGGGGTAGGTAGATCACAGAAGGCTACAAATGCCTTGTTGAGAAATTCTGACCTCAGTGGTGAGGGAGGCCACTGAAGGCCATTAAAGACAGACAGACCCTAAGCCTCCCAAAGCTTTATTCCCAGCTGCATTTGCAACCACCAATGTTCCCAAAATATCCTCTATTCCTGACCAGGCCTCAGAGCTGTTGGAGAGTGGCCAGCTGAAGCAGTATTAACAAAGCACAGCCAGGCATAGTGCTACATTCCTGTAACCCAGCGTTTGAGAAGCTGAGGCAGGAGGGTCAAGAGTTCGAGGCCAGCATGGGCTACATAGACCCTGTCTCAAAAAACAGTGCCTGCTTCAACAAAATTGGAGAAGAGGGCAGAACAGGTTCTGCCTGGAAGTGCGGTGGGGAAGGGGGAGAGCAAGGAAGGGCCCAAACAATGTATATGCATATGAATAAATGTATAAACAATTAACAAAAAAATAAATAAAATTGCCTGTAACTGGTGTGCCTGCTGCTTTTTCTTCCCCTATGGCCTGTGTGTAAAGAATGATTTTTACATTTTTTAGTGGCTGAAAAAAAATCAAAAAGAAGATAGTATTTTTGTTTCTTGGCTGGTTGGTTTTGCTTGTTTGTTGAGACAAGGTCTCCCTGTGCAGCCCAGGCTGTCCTGGAACTCGCCATGTAACCCAGCCTGGCCTTGAGCTCCCAATCCTCCTGCCTCAACCTCCCAAACTGGTAGGATTACAGGGATGCACCACCACACCCAGCATTTTTTTTTTGTTGAGACAGGGTCTTATTATGTTGCCCAAACTGGTCTCATATTCCTGAAATCAAAGGATCTACTGCCTCAACCTCCCAAGTGTTGGGACTACAAACGTGCGCCACCCTGACTGGTTAAACAGTATTTTGATAAGTGAAAATTATATGAAATTTGAATTTCTAAAGTTTTTTTTTGGGAGATTGAACCCAGGGCCTTAAGCATGCTAGGCAAGTACTCTACCACTGAGTTATACAAAATTTTATTGAAACACACAGCTATGCCCATTTGTTTGCAGGTTGTCTTGGGCTGCTTTTGTTACATGAGAGAGACCATATAGCTTGCAAACTTACTCTCTTACCTTTCGCTGAAAAGGTCTGCAGACCCCTGAGCTAGCCAAAGCGATTGAAGTCTTGAAGAAACAGAGCCTTGGCTTGGGCGAAGACCTCCCGTGGGCTTCCAAAAGGTTGTCTAGCATCATGGGTAAGGCTCAGTGACATCAGATCATCAGGCACTGTACAGCATGGGCCCGGGAGGAGCTGTAGGTCTTGAACCCCCAGAATGAACAGTCTCAGTGCCTGCCAGCTCTGCTCTCTTACTTTTCAGGTCTCCCCAATGCTTAATTTTTTTTGAGGTACTGGGGATTGAACCTAGGACCTCAAACATGCCAGGTAAGCACTCTGCAATGGAGTCACAAGCCCAACTCTTTTTTTGTGAAGGGTTTTTTTGAGATAGGCTCTTAGGAACTATTTGGCCAGGCTGGCTTCGAACCTCAGTCCTCCTAATCTCTTCCTTCTGAGTAACTAGGATTACAGGTGTGAGCCACAGGCGCCAGCACAAGCCCAACTCTTAAGTCTCTGAACTCCACAGGGAGTTCCCACAGGGAACACCCTGAGCTGACACCCTCCCTACCAGTGGGCCTGACCTTCAGATCCGTGCACAGTTGGGCAGATCTACACAGCCAGTGCCATCTCTACTTCTTCATCTGTTTTCACATTCTCTCAGGATGTGAGATTGTCTTACACAACTATCACTCGTTTTATTGTTAGCACATTTTTGGTTTGGTTTTGATGCCATGACACATGAGAAGTTTTGTTCATCACCTGAGCTCACAAGGCAATTGATTATTATTTATTTATTCAGCAACTCAGTAAAACTACATTATTAATTCTTAATTTGTCTGTCAACTTCTTAGTGTTTTCTAGGGATAAGCATATCATATGAGAACGCATAGTTTGGTTTTTCCCCTTTTTGGTTCTGGGTTTGCAGTACTAAAGTTTGAACTCTAGGCCTTGCACTTGCTAGGCAGGCACTCTACTGCTTGAGCAAGCGCCCCCCAGCCCTGGTTTCTCCCCAATTCTCTCTCTCCTTTTTTTCTTAGTATTGAGGTTTGAACTCAGGGCCTCATGCTTGCTAGGCAGGCGCTCTATCACTTGAGCCACTCCACCAGCCCTTTTTTGTTTTGCTTATTTTCAAGAGAGGAGCTTCCAAACTACTTGCCTGGGCTGGCTTTGAACCACGATCCCCATGATCTCTGCCTCCTGAGTAGTTAGGATTACAGGTGTGAGCTATTGGCACCTGGCTCCTTTTTTATTCTTGCATCCTTTTTTTTGTGGTGGGACTGGAGTTTGAACTCAGGGTTTTGTGCTCACAAAGTAGGCGCACTACCACTTGAGCCACACCTCCAGTCCATTTTTCACTCTGTTTATTTTGGAGATGGGTTCTCAGAACTATTTGCCCCAGCTGGCCTCCCACCTAGATCTCAACCTCTGAAGTAGTTAGGATTATAGGCGTGAGCCACTGGTACCCAGCTTAATTCTCATGTCTCTATTTCTTGTTTTATTACATTTGTGGAACAGTGATGAGTAGAAGCAGCAATTCTTGGGGTTTCTGTCATTCCTGACCAGATCTACCCTTTCACCCTTCAACATAATATATACGTTCTTTCCCTAACTCACTATAAACTTTAATCTCATTAGGCATTACATTTTTTTTGCATCTATTAAAAATATTAGTTCCCTTAATTTATGATTAATTTATTAATAGACTGTAATATCAGGCTGAAATGATCTATTTCTTTGAAGTTTTGTAGACCATCCCTCCCCCAAACTACCTAGGGCCTATTGTTTTCCATATGTCAACATCTTTTTGCTACTCATCAATACCTTATTGTATTAATACATCAATAGTACAAGGGGGTTTCATTGTGATAATGCCATAGACGCATACAGTGTACTTTGAAAAAGTTCACCCCTCTATTACCATTTGGAAACATTTTTAACTATTTTTTTTAATAGTGCTGGGATTTGAACTCAGGGCCTCATGCTTTCTAGGGAGGTACTTTACCACTTGAGCCCACTCTACCAGCCCAGAAACATTTTACTTAGAGTCAAAATTTTACTATCTTTTAAATGCCCTGCTATCTAAAGCATATCTTCTTTTTTCATTCCTTTTTTTTCTTTCTTTTCTTGGCATCCTGGGGTTTGAACTCAGAGCTTTGTGCTTACGAGGCATGTGCTCTACCACTTGAGCTGGCCCATCAGCCTGAGGCTGCAGATTTCACCAGTTCTCTGTTAACTGCATCCCACAACCTTCAATACACTGCATAGTACTCATAACAGTTCAGGGGTATTTATGTTTGCTTTTTGAAACAAACTCTCGATATGTAGCCCAGGGTGGCCTTGAACTTGGTATGTAGCCCAGGCTGGCCTCCATCTCACAATCGTGCCTGTCTCGTGAGTGCTGGGGTTATTAGCATGCATCTTCTTTCATCAATTTAAGTGTCTTATATTTTCAGTGTGACTGTGGTGCAGTCATACAGTGTGGTATGAACGTTGCTGGCTCTTTTGTATTAGAATGTAGTTAATACTTGTAAAGACTCCCGGTTGCTTGAGGATAAATTCACCAAATCATTGCGTTAGCTGTATTAAATCAGAACTGCAAATTGTGCTGTTAAAAGTAACACACCATGCCCAGCACCTTGAAAAAAAATAACAAACATAAAAAAAATGACTGGACATGCCTTGGAAAAGGGTGAGGCTCAGGCAGGGAGGCCAGTCGGTGGGGGGAGCAGAGGGTGAGCCCTTTCTGGGTGAGGAGAGAATGTAGGGGCTGAAAGCTGGGGTGTGGTGATGTGTCCCTGTAACCTGGTACTCAGGAGGAGGCAAGAGGATTAGTTCTAGGCTAGGCTGGGCTACAGAGTGACCCTGTCTCAAACAAAACCTGAGGGAGGCAGGACTGAGCGAACCTCTCGGTTGGAGTTTGGGGCACACAATGGGGCACTGAGAAGTCCCTTGCAGAGGGAAGCTGGGAAAGGCCTGGGCTATCTAGATCCAGGCCTCAGGAAGCTGATGGCGGAAGTCATGGGCAAGAACCAAACCACGGGGCCAGAAATTGTGATCTAATTCATCCTTCAGTTGTGGATCTGCATCTTTGGTGATCTGCTCTATTAATACATATGTGACTATGTCTTGCCTTTCCCAGGGCGTAGAATCAGTGACTTAGGGGTATCATTAAATCCTGCCTGCCACTGTAGCTCAGCCCAAAATGTCCTCTTCTCCCCCTTGCCAGCCAGCTAGCTCTGACTTGGACTTTGGTCAGTGTTATAGGACCCTTTGAGTAAGGTAAAATGTAACCCTGAATAGGTTCATCCCAGACAGGATGGTCAGGGTCAGGGGGCAACCACAAACCACCTGACCTACTTAATGTTTTGCCTGCTACCTGCCCTGCCCTGCCCCGGACACCAGTCACTCCTCTTCAGTGTGCAGGTCTCAGCTGATTGAGCTTCTGAGTCATTCACTGTGCCCAGTGCCTTCCTGGTCCACCGCCACCCAATAAAGGACATCTAGGGCTGTGACAGTGCTACTGGGTGACAGAGGACAGACATCAAGGACTGCTTTCACGTGGCTGGCTGAGAGTTCAATATTCCAGGTCTGGGATCCCTGGGGATGTGAACAGATGCGTTTCAGACAAGGGTTGTGGGCAGTCAGCACTATGTAGGGTTATCGGGAGCTAAGAGAATGTGTGCTAGGCAGTGAGTAGCGGTTCATAAATGTTACTGTCTCCTGCTTTACTCATGAGCAGCTCCCTGAGGGAACAGACCTGCTTCAAGGTGACCCAGACACAAGGGGCAGTGGAATTGGTCAGACTGCAGAATGATCTCCCACCTGCCTGGATCACATGGACAGGGAGATGGGAACCGCAGGGGTCTCCTATTCCCACCCCTTCTCACATCCAGCCCCAACCCAGCATTGTGGTTCCCTGCTGGGGAGCAAGGACCCAAGTGGTGATTGGAACTGGAAGTGGCTGGACTGGGGGAAGGCTTGGTTCCTGAAGCTTCCTTCCAGGGTCTGGAAGTGTGGGAGAAAGGAAGGGGTGGCCTTGGGGAAGAATAGCAAATAGCCACAGTGCTTAGGGCTAGTCCTGGTGACAAAGGAACCTTGTGGCTCTGGAGACTTTACTTCTTATATCCAGGTTCTCCTGCAGATGTCCTTAATTTCCTTAACAAGTCTGTGCCTGTAACACCATTCCTTCTAAAGGGAAGGAGCCAGGGCCACAGGTTCAAACAGGCTCCAGCAGGACCAAGGTTCAAACAGCTGGCCCAAGACAGGATCCCAGGCTTCCCCAGGTCCTGAATCCAACCAGGGTTTTCTTCTCCCCAGTCAAGTCCTGGGAGAGAGCAGAGGTCCTGAACTGAGGCTTTCCCAGGGTCCTGTCCAACCACACTTAGCATGGTCCCAATAGTCTGTAGCCACAGTGCCAGCGTGCTCACTTGCAGGGAGCACTGGGCAAGCCAGGACTGTGCAGGGCTGATGCAGGTACACCCTCACCCTAAGAGCGCTCCACCACCGGAAGCTAGTCAGGCTGGTTGGCTGGAGAAGCCCCTTCAGGGCACAGGGCCAGTGGGCTGGGGCATTGGGTCTCTGCCTACAGCTATATCCGGTGCCAACTTGCTCCAGAAACAAGATAGGCCTCACAGACCTGCAAGACACTGCAGCCTGGCCTCTGCGTCAGATCTGCTGGCTGGCCTCCCACCGAGGACCGTGTGTGTGTACTTGGGTTTCATGCAGGGTGCACTGGCCAGGCAACACAGCTACTTCTTTAGTGACTCTGCAGTTCTGTTACATCCATCTTGAATCCCCATCAGTTTAACTGAGAACAATGTGGGTTTTGTTTTTCCAAGAATTGGGGTTCTCCTTTCACTTCCTGATATTGCAAGCTGTTTACACATTCTCCTCAAATAAACGGATACAATTCAACTCAGATTTGGCCTGAGCCTTCGATTTTATCTCCAAGGATGCCTGCAAAGTCTTCTGGGGGAACTCTCAGATTTTCAGAATATTTAAGGCCTCAACATTCCACCACAAGACTAAAAAGAGGTATACTTCTGTGCACAGTGATGGCCATCCTGGAGATAACAGCAGTTGAGTACACTGTTTTGAGCACAAATGTCAGGAAGGTGATGCCTGGCACTTGCAAGTCACAGCAGATTCCCTTGCTCAGTCCTCCCTCCCTGCTTCCCAGGAAGCTGTGAGGACTAGCAGAGACACCAGCTTCCCTCCTGGCTCCCAGCCAAGGAAGTGTTGCCCAGAGAGCACCCACTTGTGGTCAGGAGCAACCACTGCAGTCTGGTGGGCAGGAGAGTCCAGTTTTTTGAAGTATGCAATGACTTTTTTGGGAAATACATTTATATATACATATATATATAATTTGGCAGTACTGGGGTTTGAACTCAGGGCCTTAGGCTTTCTAGACAATCACGCTAACACTTGAGCCATACCCCCATTCCTTTTTTACTTTATTTTTCAGATAGGACCTCCCATTTTTGCCCTGGGCCATCTTGGACAGCAATCCTCCTACCTATGCTTGCAGACTAGAATGGATTACAGGCATGCATCACCACATTAGGCTATATTCTAGTAATTTTCTTCAAAGTCAACTTAAGTACAGAAAGGAAGAAAGTGAGTCCATTCTAAATATGCTTTCTTCGAAACACCACTGGGGTTGCCAGAAACCAAGTATCCCAGGGCACAGGCAATGAGTGCTACCATGCAGCTGGAGTGGGGCATGTGGGGGCCACCTGGAGAGACAGGTGACACCTGGACATGAGCAGGTGCACTGCAGAAAACGTTTTGAGTACCCCTAGGAGCCAGGCATAGTACTTCAAGCCTGAAAAGCCAAAACACGAGTAAAACACAAACCCTCCCCTCAAAAACATGATAACCCTGTGGCTGGGCAAAGATTACAAACATGAGAGATGAGTCAGATTACAAAAGTTCTGTGCCATTGAAGTGGAAGAAATTGCAGAAACTGCTGTGTTGAGCAGAGCATCAGGAGATGCTTGAGCAGATAGGTGCATGCCTCAGTGAGGGACCAGCGCTCCCCTAACTTAGCTTCTAGATTATTCTTGTGGGCATGTGTGGGATAGATTGGAAGAGACTTGGAAGTTAAGTCCCACAGACTCTACAGGAGGTGGTGAAGAGGGACCCTAGAGAGTTGCTGGTGCTGAGGAAGGAAGTCGATAAGGAAGGCACACAGGATTTGAGCACAATAGGGAAGTCAGGGGTGGCCCAGGGTGAGCAGGAGTCAGGCTTGTACTCAACATGCTTCATGTCATATGCACTGTGGAGGCTGCAGGAAGAACATTCAGGGGACACGCAGCTTTTGAACCTGACAGAAAAGGAATGCCCTGTTTGCTACCAGCTCAGATATATACTAACTCAACAAATTGAATAGATATCAGTGCCCAGCACAATGGTATATATGCTTTACCCCATAAGGTTTGACCTCGTTATACAGCCGAGCACGGTGGTACACATCCGTAATCCCAGCATTCAGAAGGATCCTGAGTTTGAGGCTAACCTGGGCTACATAGTGATACCCTATCTCAAAAAAAAAAAGCGCTGCTAGCACTTACTGTGGCCTGATGTCCTCAATTAAATGAAATTCCTGTGAAAAGGGGAGGTCCAGCTTTGGTAAGACACTTAGGCCCCTTGTTCCCCAGTAAATCTGGCAGGCTGGGCTTTGGTGTCAGGGCCATGTGCCAGGTAAGGGAGAACCCTCAGGCCTCAGCCTCTTCTTCCTGCTCAGGGATGTGGGAGTACAGCCAGGACCTGGGGGAGGAGCTGGACAGTTTTACCAAGCTCATTCCAGGGGCTGAGGACAGAGTGGAGGCGGGGCAGGTGGCAGTAAAGACAAAGGAGAGAAAAACTTTTCAAAGCAAAGAAAAACTTAGCCTTTCTTGGTCTGGCTCTCAATCCAGGTGTCCTGGCTCCAGGCCTGTCTTCCCCTGGGGTCCCAGCAGGGGGCACTGCAGCCTTCTGAGGCTAAGGGGCTACACCCTCCCCTCAGACTCAGGCCCAGCCAGGTCATGTTCACCATCTCTCATTCTGCCTCAAGTTGCTGGCCTTCTTTCTATCCTCTTCAATGACACAGAGCCATGGAGGGGGAGGAAAAAAAAAAAGTTTATTTTATCAGAGAGCCTCCGAAGGCACCTGGTTTCTGTCATGTATAAAAAGGCAGTAAATCAGTAAATCAGCAGCTGTACAGAGTGCGTGACAGGTGGGAACAAGGTTTGGGAAACAGAGGAAGTAACAGAGGAGGAAGAAGGACATGGGAAGGAGGGCTGGCAAGTATCAGATCAGACAGTACAGAGACCACTCCCAGCCCCCAGCCATCTCTGGTACAGGCAGATAGACACACAGACAGACAAACAGACAGAAGACGCTATCTGAGCCCAGGAGCTTCTCCTGCTGTGCTCAAGCAGGGATCAGTCAAAGCCATCAGGCAGACTGTGTCCCCTCCCAACTCTGACTCTCCAGTCCCTAACATCCTTGCTGTCCATCCAAGAGACTCTGTTCCCAGGGCCTGGACATCCGGGTCAGCCCAGCACAGGCCCTTAAGAAAGCAGAAGTGGGCTAGGAGAGCAAACTTCCAGACCACCCTTGCTCATTCCCGGCAGAAGGAAGCAGGCAGGAGGCAGGCAGGCAGGCAGTGCTGTCCTTCTGTCCCACATGGTCACACAATTGCCCGGAACAGGAAGGAGAAGACAGCCCCCAGTGCCAGGCCCAGACACAGAAAGAAGGCCATGATGGCTCCTGCAGTCTCCGCCTCGGCGGGCTGTACTTTCCTAAAGGAGGGAGGGCGGGATTACTTCAGGATGATGCATGAAGACCTAGCTGCTTCTCCCTGTTGGCCAGAGGTGTCCCCCTATGCAAGGAAGGGCGCCCCAGCCTTCTTCCCCTCAGCTCCAGGACTAGGGAGCCTCCTTTTGCCCCCTCTCCCTCTATTGAGTGTTCCCAGTAGAGTTCTAAACCCTGCCTGCTACCACCAAGTTCCCTGCGGGCCCCACTCACTTGGGCCCAAAGCACATGCAGAGGCTGGCGAGGTAGCCATTGGAGAAGGCGAAGACAGCCATGAAGAAGATGTACCAGGCGTCATGTTCAAAGACCGTCGGGTATCGGCGGGGCTGCACGTTGCACAGGAGCAGCAGGGGCACGAACACCAGGCGGGCCACCACCAGGCTCGGCAGCCAGCGGCTATCCTTCCCAGGCTACAGGGGACCAGGCAGTGCCTCAGGCCAGGCTGGTCCCTACATTTCCATGTAGGGCCCCTGGGGACCCAGAATGGCACCCCTAAGCCTGGCTACCCTTGGGACATACTGACTGGGAGGGGTGCAGTGGAGCCTTCTGGAGTGCTAGAATGTTCTATACCTTGATCTGGGTAGGTACACACACACACACACACACACACACACACACATGCACTCATATATATTCATTAAATGGTATGCTGATATCTGTATACCTAGTTATATGTAAGTTCTATTTGGATTTTATAAAGTTGGGTCACTATACTTGGGTTCCCTATCTGTGTCTCAGCTGGACAAATCCTTCCCATATGGGTCCTGTAGCACTTACCCACATGAAGACAGCTGTGAGGCTCCGGCCTAGCCAATCAAAGATGTTGAAAGTCAAGAAACAAGATACAGGAATGAAGTAGGCTTCTGGAAGAGAAGGAGAAAGTGAATAGGGATCTGGAGCCATGGAACCTCCACCACCACCAAGGCCTCAGCTTCCCCAACTGTCCAATGGCGAAGATGCTTCTAGCTCAGGGAAAGGTGAATGGGCCCAGCTGGGAATAAGGCCACCCAACTTCCCTCTCCAACCCACTCCCAGTCCTGCTCAAGACCCCGTTTGTCCTCTATCCTGCGAGGTCATGCCATCCTCACCCCAGGAACTGGTGCCCACGATGGTGGATTTCACCTCAGCGGTCACAGCAGGGAACAATCCAATGGTGATCGTGAAGATGAAGCAGACAGAGAAAGCCAGGACTGAGATCTGGAGAAAGAGGGAAGGGATTCACCCAGGTCCCTATGTGTTCATAGTGGCTTTCCATTAAAGACAAAGAACTTCTACTTCTGAGACAGAAGACAGACAGACATACACACACGATACAGGAGAGTGACCAATCTCAGATCAGACAGAAAGGGAGATGGTGGCAGGGTAGAGGGAGAGAACAAAAGGGAGGATGGAGGCAGGACCCCCACCCGCACCCTACGTACATTCTTGAAGATGGCTTTGACTGAGTGGCTCCTGCTAGTGGGCTGAGAGTTGGGGGCCGACACTCCAGGTTCCTCTTTGACTGCTGTTGACTCCTCTCCTGGTGGGTGACGGGCTGTGGAAGGATCTTCAAATGGTGGGGAGGACAGAGCAGCAGGTGAGGTTAGCTGGAAGAGGACATCCCCTTAACTGACCCACAGTCACACCTCACGACCTTGCCCTCCCCTTCGAATCCCCTTGACCCAAGCCCCTGGGGCCTAACTTTTCCCAGGAGCCTCCAGGCAGGTTACTACCTGCCCTAAATCTGAAACTGCTTCCCAGGGCCTTCAGTCCAGATGCCTGTGGCATTCAGGATCACCCAGGGTCATCTTTCCCAGCTCTGATTCCTACTGTCTTCTCCCCTGTCACGCTGTCCTCCACCGGCTCATGGCTGCCTCCCTTTCCCCGCTTCCTTAGACTATTGAGACCTTTACTGATGAGGTCCAACTTGGTCTCCTGCTCTCCAGGCCCCTCGAGCTTGAGCTGCTGGTAGTAGCGGTAGAATTCCTATCAGGCAGGGAGACAAGAGCACTGAGACACACCTCCAGAATTCCTGCTTCCCCCAGGTTTCAGCCTCACAACACCCTAGGCCCTAAACCCCAGGTTCCTCCATTCACTCACCAGCTTGGGCAGGGCCAGGTAACAGATGATAGCCAAAATGACAACCATGCAGGCTGTGATAAAGTAGCCGAAGGCACTTTCTGACAGCTCTGAGCCACCTGGAGTGGGCAGTGGAGGTGATCAAAGACAGGCCCCAAGCCTTCCTCCCACTCCCTTCTCCCCCTAGGAGGTGGACAGGTCGACAGTAGGACTCACTGGCAATGGCACAGATCATGGCCACCGAGGCGAAGATACCAGCCAGTCCCTGGCCACTCATGATAGGGGTAGTGTAGCTGGCAGGCAGGAGGCCAGCCAGACCAAACAGGCTGCCCTGCAGGATGGCGCCGAATGCTGGGGAACAGGGTGGCCAGGCATCAGCAGGAGGGGTGGGGCTGGATTCCTGCTTGCTCCCAGTGAGTTGCAATGGAGGCCAAGCTTCCCACTCCCAACCCAGGTCCAGGCTGCTAGGTCCTGAGTCTTAACAGCTCCCAGCATGCACCCCTTCCCGGTGGTCCCCCTGCTTACAATTAATGAGCATGATCTTTATCATGGTGATGACAAAGAAGGGCAGAGGGTCCATCTGCACCTTCACCAGGACAGCGGTGACCAGGAACAACAAGAGGATCGACACCAGGCTGCCTAGGATCCGTACAGACTGGGGGATCCTGTGTGTGGGATGGGAGGCATCGAGGGATGGGAAGGCCAGGGCTCAGGGCAGGGAGTTCAGGAGGCAGTGAGGGCTGAGGGTGGGCAGTGCTCACCTTTGGTGCAAAAAGGAGTTGAGGCAGGTGAAGAGCAGTAAGGGCAACATGGCACACAAGGTCATGACATTGTTGAAGATGGCAGTGAGAGAATTCCGTCCTGAAGAAGGTGCTGCGGGGGTGGCCGAGGCCTGGATGTCCTTGCTCAGTTCGGCAGTGACCAAGGACACATTGTGGGACAGGTCCAGGCGGTTTGTGAAATACTGTGGGGGTTGCAGGAGTGTTGGAACCTCTGCCTCCCCCAGCCCAAAGGCATAGTGCCTGGCTCTGTAAGTCCAAGGGGACACCCCTTTCCAGCCCAATTCCCCCCAGCCTCACCGCAGTGGCTGTCATGAAAAAATTCCAGGGAAGCAGCGTCCCCAGGCCCAGCATGAAGAAGATAAACCAGACAGCTTTGTATCTGGGATGGAAGGAAAGAGGAGCCAAGTGACCCACCATCCATGCTCCCTCCCAATCAACCCTGGGAAGCCCCTCTGCCCTGTCTCTCTAGCTGTCCCAAGGCACAGAGCATGTGTCTGTGTTCATGTACACATATGTCCCTATTGGGAGTTACAGATGTGTGGGTCCTGGGATAGGGAACAGAGCACAAGATGAACTGAGGGAGGAGGGTCCATGACACAGGACTGGATGGCAGGGCTGACAGGACCTTTGTTCTTAGTCCTAAAACCCTGGGAGGGTGTGGGGAGAAAACCTGCAGCATGACCCACAGAGGCAGAGATGGAACTGCTGAGGGGCTGGGGTGGGTGGATGAGTGAGAAAGCAAACAAGGTCTTCCACCCCCACCAGGCAGGCTGGAAGTGATTCTGCTGCTGCAGCCGTCTAAGGAACTGTGTGGTTCCCCAAAAAGCATTCTGAAGTAAAGAAACTCCCAGACCTAGGGGGGCCGGTTGGCGGGGTGCATGGGGAGGCTGGAGAGTGAGGGAGCTACAGCTGTTATTTTCCTGGCCAGACAGAACCAGCTTTGTAGTGAAACCACCTAGGGCAGGCCAGGAAGTCTGGGGCCACTGGAAGTCATCTAGGCCTGAGTGTAAATAATGGCTACCCAGCTTTGGCCAGGCCACTGTTCTCTCGCTTGCCTGTAAGCTTAGCGATCCTGGTCCCTCCCACCTTGGTCACCAGATGTCTGCCATACTCTCCCCACAGCTATCACACACAGACTTCACACTGATGGCAGGGAAGAAGAAGCCCAAAGCAGTGAGGAGATGGGACTGGACAGGGAGCAGGGGCCTGCACCACCACAGGCCTCACAGGGCCTGGGTAAGTAACCCAAGCAGGCAGGTCTGAGCTATTCCCACCACAGCACCCAAGGCTCCCATATACTCCCTTTGAAGTCAACACACTGAAGGCCCGGTTGAGGCAGGGCCCCTATAATCCTAGCTACCTACGAGGCAGAAATCAGGAGGATCTGGGTTTGAAACCAGCCCCAGGCAAATAGTTTACGATACCCTATCTCAAAATACTCAGTACAAAAAAGGGCTGGTGGAGTGGCTCAAGTGGTAAAGCGTCTGCCTAGAAAGCATGAGGCCCTCAGTTCAAGCCCCAGGAGGGCTGGAAAGAAAAAAAAAAACCTGGTTGAAAGGCCCAGGGCAAAACTCCAAGGCAGGTCACACAGAACAGAAGGACAGATGGGGCTGGGAGTGCAATAAAGTGGGTGGATGGGGGAAGGCTTCAGGGAACTGTTGAGGGGGTTGGGCTGGGGCACCAGTGGCCTGGGAATAAAGAAGAGGCAGAGGAGCAGTCCAGGCCTGTACTCCTGTGAAGTGGGTATTCTTATCTCTACTTTACAGGTGGGGAAATGATCCCAAAAAAATTGAGCCAAGTGCTCAAGACCCACAGCCAGAAGTGGCCTCGTTCCATGACCTCCCATAAGGGAGACAAAGTGGGAAGGGGAAAGGTGAGGGCTTCTGGGGTTTGAGTTGAAGGACAGAGCCTGACACCTGGAAGGAGAAGTGGCCTGGCTTCAGTGACTTTCTCACGACCCACTGGAATACAGCTTTTTCCTCCAAAACACATGCAAATCTAACTTGAGAGAGTTCACAGATAGGCTCCAGAGGTCAGACCAAGGAGCAGGGTGGGGTGACGTCATCTGAGGCAGAGGTTTCAGAATAACCCCGAGGGACAGGGCAGTTCTGCCAGATGTGCTCTGGAATGAGAAATGCTGCTGTCTCCTCACAGCCGTGGTAGGAGGAGCCGGAAGCTGCTCACTAGCTGGAGAGCACCAGTGGAAACACTGACAGGTCAGAGGGACTGCTACCCACCCAGCCTGCCCTCCCTGCAGGCATGGTCCCCACCCCAATGCAGATCTGACTCAAAGCTGCCTGGCTGGAAGGCTACTCAACAGTGGCAACCTCAAATTCCAAAGCCCACTGTATCAGGCCCCCTAGAGACCCATTTCCTTGGTTCCTAGCCCAGGTCCCCTCCCTGCCCTCTCCCCCCTCCCCCCCTCCCCGTACCTGTCCTGAGGCTGGTGACTGGTTGTCATGGTCCTGGTGTGCTCAGTTGTGCCTGGCTGGCAGCTCCCTCCCTCTGGTGCTTGCTGGAGCAGAGGCAGTGTGAGATGGGGGCCTTGGCCCTTAGTCCTGCTTCTCCATGGCCCTCCTCAGACTCCTGGGGAAGGCCAGGAGCCAAGGGAAGGGTACCACCCTTCAGGACCACTCAACCCAACCCCACCCAGCCCTCGGGCCTACTAAGTCAGTCCTGTCACCCTTCTGCCTGCACAGGCTCCACCTGGCTGGCAGCCTGACCGCTACCACCGCTATTTTTATCCAGCAGCCAGAGCAGTTTAGAAGCTGGGAAACAGGAGGGTGGAGAGCAGGAGTGGAGGAGGAGGAAGCATGGTTGAGAGGCAGGGGAAGACAGTCGAAAACGACAGGGAAGGGATGAGAGGGGTCAGGGAAGGAGACAGGAGATCAGAGGACAGATGTTGTGGAATACAGCAAGACGGTGAGCAGAAGGCACAAAACAAAAACCAACCATGTCTGCAGGCAGCACTTCCCAGGCCCACTCTGCAGATCTGTCCTCTCCATCTTCCCAGGAGCCCCCAGACTCAAGGCTAGATGGGGCTTTGGAGATCCTGTCCCCTTCTTAAGCCTCTCTGCTCCCTGCTCCTGGCATTTAAATCTTTCTTTCCAACCACTGCCTAGGGGGCTTCCTAGTTCCCAACCAGTTTTCCAATAAAATATTTCACAATAGGGGTACGGACAGAGCCCTTTCCACAGCCTAGCCCAGCCCTTCCTCTGACCCTAGGTCCTGGCCCCGAGGTCATCCCATCCCCCCTCAGTTCCTCTCTGACTCAGTCCCAGGCACTATCCTGTCTTCTTCACCTTTTTGAGAGTGGCTTTGAAGGGAAGATTGAAAGAGTGGGACACAGGTTTACACGCATTGTCCCAAGGCCCCCAGGTAACCCCTCAGCATCCCTCTCTGTGTCCCACTTGTGCAGCGGGAGGTGCTCCAGCACCAGAGGACCAAACAACTTTCCTGCTCAATGGCAGGGTAGGGGGACCAGCATGCATCCCCATGCTGGCCCAGCTTTGGGACAGCTTTTACTGTCCAGAACGAAGACAGGTTTCTGCAATGCTATCCCTGCACTCACCGGATGCACAGACTTGCCAACAGAAGGGTAGGAGCCAAGGGGGCCTGGGAAGTTACTAGGCAGAGGTTCTAGTTCAAGCTCAGGCAGCAGGCCTTGTCCGTGGGGTCCTGGGTGAGGGTCCAGAGTCAAAAAGGTGGCACAGGGCACATCAGGAGAGAATCCCTGGGGCCTCACGGGACCCCATCCTGAGAAGCCTCACTAGTGAGCACAGAAGCTGAAGCAGAAGGAGATAAAGCCACCCTGTAGCTGGGAGATAAGAGCGCAGGAGACTCAGCAGGAGAGCTAGGGCTGGTGCAGGTCAGCTCTCAAGTGCAGCCAGAGCTCCAGGCCCTGCCTGCCCAGACAAACAGACGCAGCTGGTCACCCTGAGCCCTCCAAGAGCTTTCTGCCCCTCCCTTTCCCCTCAATCCCTCCCAGGGCAAACCCCACACCCTCCAAAGGTCTTCCTCAGCCCCCCAGCCCACACCCAGGTTGCATGGGGAAGGGAGGGTAAACCACACACCTCTGATAGAGAGCTCCTTTCAATCGTCTTTTCAATATATATTCACTAATTGCCTCTGCGTGCTAGCCAGGCACTGTTCTAGGCACTGAGAACAGAGAGGTGAATAACAGTATTGACATTTTCTAGAGGGATGAGGACCACAGGGCTCTGCTGGGGGGAGGGGAGAAGGCCCAGGGCTCAGAGTTCTATTAGGATTAGGTAGTGGGGAGGGGACCCCTGCCACACACACACACTTCAGCACTGCTTGTGCCCCATCCTCTCTCCACAGGGGGTAAGTGAGACGGGGAGGGGAGCAGGCCCCTTCCCTCAGCAAGACCAGCTTAGGCTTGCAGAAGTGTTTACTTCTGCCCTCTCCCCCAGCTCCACCCCTGCTCTCTCTGCTTTCAGCAGCCCCGGGCCCAGTTCTGCACACCAGTCAACGCCACAGGCAGCCCTCCAGTCCTACCCACATCCTAGCATTCCGCTGGCCAACCTAGGTATTTCGTTCTTGTCTGTCATTGATCAGCAACACCCCAGGATCTGATACCAGCTCAGAGCATCTGATGTCCCCAAGTCACTCCTGGGCCTGCAGAGATGGAGCCCAGAAAGCAGCCACTAAACTGAGCCACTCCCTGTCCCCAGGCTCCCAACACCTCTCATGTACCACAACTTCTAGACCTATCTTTATGCTACATCAAATCTTCACTCCCAAGGATCCCATCTCCAACTACCCGGAAACTAGTGCTAGACTGTTTTCGCTGAACAAATAGGGCCAGCTGAGGTTCAGAGAGGTTGAGTGAATTGCCTAAGGTCACAGAGCTAGTGAGAATTCAATCTCAATGTACAGCTTATTGTAGGTTCCTTCCGAGGTGGGGAGAGAGGGTGTTATTAAGTCCGGAAAATGGGGGAATCCCTCCTCCAATTAAAGGGGAAAAATAAGGTGAAGGCTCAGGTCATTCTCAACCCAACATGAGTTTCAGGTTTGGGGCCCCTCACCACACATCCTGGCATGGAGACCTCACACAAGCAGGGCAAGACCAAGGGACTGGAGGTTTCCAAGAGGAATGGAGGAAGCGGCTGCCGAGGTTGGAGGCCCTGAGCGAGTGGGGTGAGGGGCAGGGGTGAAACCGGCCTCCACCCACCGCTGCTCCGCTGGGAAGAAAGCCTGGGAGTGAGTGTTCTTGTCCTGTCACCTATTTACTCTCTCGGGACTAAATGAGGACGCACCCAGGAAGGGAGGCCAGGGACACGACTTTGCCTAATAAAAGGGATAAAGGGACAGCTCCCCTCCATTGGCCTCCCCCCACCCTCCTCTGCGCAGTACCGGGCGGTTCCCCACCCCCAGTGCTAACAGGATCGATCGGGATTAACCGTCCACTTGCCTGCCTCTTGCAGAGGTCAGCGTGGCGACATCCGCTTTCAGGCCCGGGAGTCAGGCCACCAACTGCCCACTCGACCCGGGTCCCCGCAGGAACCCCCAATGCCCCGGCCCGTCCGCGCCACGTGCTGCGCAGCTGCGCTCCGCACGCGCTGCGCGGGGGCCCCACCCGGCGTCCCTCTCCCGGCCGCGGGGCTGGGAGGCCCGGTTTCCCTGTCCGCGTGGCAGGGAGGACGCGCAGCCCTCCGCCAGGCTGTCCCCAGCGCGCCCCCACCCCGGCCCCGGGGAGCACCTGCTGGAGAAGGACGCCTCCCGCGCGGAGATCTGCGCGGCCTCCCGTGCGGAGATCTGCGCGCTCTCCCGCCAGCTTCCCGCGCCAGCCCGAGCGTATTCAAACCCGCCCTCTGCTGGGCCCGCCCCCGGCCCGCGCCAGCCACCACCTTCTGGGACTCCGGCGCTCCCTAGCCCCGCCCCTGCCCCCCCCCGCAGCTCCACAGGCTCTGGGGCCCCCCCACCACAAGACCCTGCTCCCCAGGGCCGTCCGATCGTGTTATTTCTGTGGCTAGGACCTCTTTGGGCCTTGTCACATCATGGAGCACATGGGCCTGGAGGGCGCAGCCCCCCCTCGACACACACACACACACACACACACACACACACACACACACACACACACACACACACACACACACACACACACACACACACACACACACACACACAGCGTATTCCTGGTCGCCTTCTCGCTGGGGCTGTGCTAACTCCTACACGTTCTACCTCGGGACTCTCCAGCAGACAAGCCTTGCTCACACAGGTCCGGACGCCCCCACAGCCACACTCCACCTCAAGTGTTCCGTTATCCCTCCCCGAGCCCCGCCCACGCCACCTCACTGCCACACTGCAACCTTTTTCCTTCCAGTTGCCCCTGGTCCTTTTAATGTGGCCTTCTTCCTTTCAGACCTCTCCTTTCCTTTCAATCTTCTGTTCTCCCCTTCCTTCTCCTGATGAGATTCCTCGACTTAATTGCTCTGTGAGTTGCACAAAGGGTTTTTTTTTTTTCCCATCCTACATATATGTGCAGGGTCGCAGACCACAAACACCATACCACCCACAACTTTGCCTTGAAGGGGATGTGTGTGTGTTTAGGGGTACAGGCGTGACCCTGAAGCCTCCCCCCGTGGTTCCCCATTCCTAAATCCAGCACTTTGGAAAACTGAGGCACAGCTGGGGCTGGGAAGAGAAAAAGCCACGAAGAGCCTTACATCTTGCACATCCCATTGTCCCAGAGGGAGAAGATACCCCATCTCCCACACCCTCCCCAGGATAACCCTTAATGACCTCCAGGGGAGAGCAAGGATGCAAGGATTCCTTCTTTTGGCGGGGGCAGTAAATGGAGGAAGGTATTGAGGGCCCTCACAGCAGCACTTAGTGATGTAGGGTGATTCAAAGGCTAGAGGGGTCCCAGGATGCCTGCCCTTCCCTGCCCAACTTCCCAGCTATCGAAGGGGCCTGCTCCCTGAAAAAGCCACACACACTATCAATCAGTAATATTAACGTCCCAGGGACGAGAAGTCACAGCCTCTTCCCAAAGACTGGGCCCTGGAGAGAGAGGGGTTCTATTTAGCACAGTGGACTCTTCCTGAGCTTCTCCAGTTGCAGTGTCCCCGCCTTCCTAAGAGGAGATGACACATATCTTTCCCCCAGCACTAAGCAAACAGAGGGCAGGAAGATGGCTTGAGTGGTATTTTTCTAGGCATTGCCCCATGGCTTGAGAGTGGCCTCATGTCTGTCCACATCCCCAGATTCCAGCCCTCGTGTTTGTCCAGTCTCTCTCTCTTCCTCTCCTGGCCCTCGCCTCCCCTCTTCCTTGGTCCCCTGCCTCTCTCCCACCTTCCTTTCCTGGCGCTGGCCCTGTGGGGGTGGCTGGCATAGTGGTCAGAGATCCACCAGGCACAGCCAAGCTGGAGGCCAGTGGCTACAATTGTGTGCAAAGGGGGCTGGAAGTGGAAGGAAGTGGTGAGGGTCCCCTCCAGACTGGTGAAGGCTGGTTCTTCTTCCCACCCCCACTGGGGCCTGGCTGGCTGAGGGGATGGCTACAGCCAGACCTGTTATTGTTGGAGAGCAGCCCATCTGGCGCACTCCCTGCTTGGGCCCCAGCCAGCACCCACACCTCTCACACCCGCCTTCCTAGGCAGAGATGCTTGCTGGGTACCAGGGCCCTCTGCTGGACAACCCAGGGCGCCCCAACTCACACAGGCCTGGGCCTGGAGTTTTTCTAGCCACCCCAGTCAGTCCTCTGCATCCTCTGCCCAGCCTCATGGTTCTCTCCTTCCCTGGAATCCTTCAGTTCTCTAACCCAGGGTTGGGGTGGGAAGGGCTGGTCCAGCTGACTCCCACTTCCCATCCCATCCCCCACTCCATTTGAAACTGTGCTTGCCCCAGACTACTTCTACTCCCCCTTGCAGAGGTAGGCTTGTCACACACCAAGTCCTATCTCTTCCCAGGCCTGTGTCCTCTCAGCTGTCACCAAAAGGCCATCTGTATTTGCTGGAAGTGTGTTTGCTCACAGTGGGGGGTTGTCACCATTACATGTTGTAGTCAGTGATAAACAGAAAGCCCAGATTCTTATATTCTACATGGATGCATCCAGGCAGGATATGTAGACATTTGTGAGGGTGATGGTAAAAGCTTATTAAAGCTTATTAAAGGTTAGGGAAAAAAGAGTTACAAAAGCCCATGGTGAGCAAGGTGGGAACTGGAAGCAAAGAGAGCCTCTTGCTTCAAAGCATTTTTAAAACCTGAGCGATCCTGCAAGATGGGGAACATCTTGGGCCAATAATGGGCCAGTGGGAAGGGATTTGGGTGGTCCCCGGGCCAGGGTTTGGATCACTCTGGGCATATCTGCAATTGAAAAGGAGATTCAGAGCCAGGTGCAGGTGGCTCACATCTGTAATCCTTGCTATTCGGGAGGCAGGAAGTCAGCCTGGGCAAATAGATCTCATCTCGAGACCCTATCTCAAAAAACCCTATCAAAAAAATTGGGCTGGTGGAGTGGCTCAAGGTGAAGGCCCTGAGTTCAAACCCCCGTACCGCAAAAAAAAAAAAAAAAAAGGAAAGAAAATGTCGGATCTCAGGTACAATATGTTAAGTAGTGTATGTGTAAGAGTCCGGATGTTTTTGCATTCTTCGCCCGCTTCAGTGTTCTCTGTTGTCTTGTGATGATACTGCCACAGCCTTGAGGCAAGGCTGAGATTAGGAAAAGGCCAGTGAAGCACTTGCTTGAGATGTCAAGAGTAAGGGCACACCAAAAAACTCAGTAAATGGAGAAAAATTTTAATGCAAGTGGGGTTTTGTTTTATTTTATTGAGGATCAAACTTAGGGTTTGGCACATGCCAGAGGTGGCTCTACCACTGAGCTAATACAGGGGTTAAAAGACAAAGTTAATGCAAAGAATCCATGATTAATACAGTATCAAAATTTGAAATAAAGACAGGTGTAGACACAGGCAAAGTACTAGGTCAGGGTTCAAGAAGAATTAACTCTTTGTTTACTAGGTCTGGTCCTGGTCTTCTAGCTTAATTTCTCAAACCTCTGTCCCCTTACTGTCTGCTGTGGGCAGGTCTCTGACCTGGGGGAAACTGTAAATAGGGATGGGACGGGAGGCAATTATCCAAGTCAGCCTTCAAACTGCCAGAAAAATATTCTCTCTCCCAAGAAGCAAGCGTCTATGACACAAGTCCCTCTACCCAGGCTGCAAGCGCACCGCACAGACCCCGCCCCCACCCACCTTACCCAACCCCTGCCGCTGGCCTCTGTCCCCGCCCCTAGCCCCCAGTGCACCTGCTGAGACGTGGTGGTGGGGGCATCGGACGGGGGAGGGGTGATCGGAAATTCCCAGGCCAGCGGGGCCCCGGTCTCCCCCTCCCTGTCCTCACCTGCTGGCGGGGGCCATAGCCATAGCCGGGGCTGACCGGTCTCCGCCGCCCGGCAGGAGACGGGCTGCGACAGCGACCGCGGCGCTTGCTCAGCCGCTCCGGGACGCGGGAAGGAAGGAAGGAGGCGGGCGGGAAGAGAGATCGAGCCGGCCTGGTGGGAGGGGCCCGTGGGCCTGAGAAGGCGACCAGCGCCCCGAGGCCCCGAGGGGCAGGTTAGGAAACCTGAGGCTCGGTCACCCTCTCCAGTGGGATTAGCTCGTGCGCTGGCTTTTGAGGACTCTGGATGACGGGGGGAGGAGGGGGGGCAGTTCCGCAGGATTTGGGCGGAGGTGCTCTAGGCTCACTTGTTCCCCTGCGTAGGCTTGAGCAGGTGTGGGGATCTGATGGGGATCTCTACAGGGGCCCCATTCCTTACTATCCCCTGCAAACCTAGAGCCCAAGACTCATTCGGAAAGGATTATTGCATGGGAACAATAAGCAAATTACCAGGAGGCTGGGATGCAAATATGTCTGCACTCATATTACACACACACACACACACACACACACACACACACACACATTCACAAACGCCCAGGGGCCTCCATTAGGAACGGGGAAAGGATGAAGTGAATATTTCCACTCACACTCTATCCCCCCACATCATTTTTGCACTGCCCCCACCCCCACCCTGTGGCCGCAGGGTCCCTTACAGTACACCTCCGGGAGTTTATTAGTCTCCAAAGGAGACTCAAGGACAGTTTTTTTCCCTCTATGAGTGAGCTTGCCCACATCTCTATGTTCCTCCAACACAAATCCAAGCCTTTACTGGGGCAGAACTCAGGGCTTCACGCTTGCTAGGCAGGCACTCTACCACTTGAACCACTGCACCAGTCCTTTTCCATATTGGGTATTTTCAAGATAGGGTCTGTTGAAATATTCATCCAGGCTGTCTTCAAGCCATGATCCTCCTGATCTTTGCCTCCTGAGTAACTAGGATTACAGCCTTGCAGTTTTGAACCAACACCTGTTTTTTCATTTTGTTTTTTGTGTTTGGAGACAGGCACTTGCTGCGCTGGCCAGGCTGGCCTCCAACTCAAGATCTTCCTGCTTCCACCTCCCCAGTACTGGGATTCCAGGTATGCAGCACCTCACTGGACACAGAGTGACATTCTTTTTTTTCTTTCTTTCTTTCTTTAAAGGAAACCACTCAGATGACGTCCTCACCTTCTTGCTCCTCCAGAGGAGAAGAAGAATCATCAATGGCAAATGGCAGCTGCAACACAGCAGCACCAAGAGCTGGCTTCACGCTCAGGGGAAAATGTCATGTTTCCTTCTCGTGATTTCTGCTACCCTATATGATCAGAGAAGCTTCTCTAGTTAAGAACTATAGAAATGATCCCTGAAAATATACTCTTTACAGTGGAACATCCTGAAGGAAGTCAAACACTAGAAACAGCTTCCAGGCTGTGAGGACTGTGAGGACACAGTGGAACAAGTAGTAAAAGGAATCATGGCAGGTGGCCTCTCCTCCTGCCCCCTCCCCAGGGCAGGAGTCGGGGTGGAGGGATTTCAAAGGCATCCAAATGACCCAACAAATGTTTATTGAGCGCTTGCTGTGTGGGGGGGCTTTGGGGACAAGTCTGCTTTAAAAGGGAATCAAGGTGTTATTTTGAGTTAGGTCCTGAGTGACAGTCTAGGTTCAAGTATCATCTCCTAGCTAAATTTTCATGAGGTCAGGTCCTGTCCACGAGGCCAGGGTGGTTAGCAGAGGTCTTTGGGAGCAAGGAGAAGGAGGGGCAATGATGAGTGGTCTGCTAGATGCAGTCAGTGCTGATACCTGGACTGGCCTAGTCCAGAAGAGAGCGTTTCCATAGATACCTCAGCTGCCAGGATTCCTGGCCTCACTTTTGGGGACCTAACCTCTCCCTCCTCTCTGGGCGATCCACTCTGGTGGCCTCCCCACTGTCTGGCGGGTGTTGCTGGCTGAGAATGAAGAGCAGACAGCCCAGCACAGTCTCTCGAATGTCCTGGGAGCCCAGGCGGCGGGCCAGTTGGCGCAGCAGGGGCAGGAGGTGCTGGCGGGCCAGGCGCACCGCGGGCAGCAGCAGGCGGGACACCAGAGCTCGGAGCAGCAGTGGGAACATTGGAGCCGGCATGGCAGGATGGGCACCTCACCTGCAAAGGCATCCCAAGCCCTAGGCTTGCACTTCCTGCTCCCAGCTCACCTGGCAAAGCCCTCCCTTCAGTTTACACCTTTGTGCTCCTGGGCCCCAATTCAGAAATCACTTTTGCTTTGGTGGCACCCTTTCTCCCGGCAAGGTGGCTGGGTCAGGAGTTGTCACCATAGCGCAGATAGGGAACTGAGGAAAGATGGGGCTAGGACCCACAGTTTGCTTTTCCCATCCTCCAGGGATCCCCACTGCCCCTTGGATCCCCCTTCCTCTAATCACCCCTCCTTTTGTCATCCCCTTCCCTCCCCTCTCCTGTTCTTCCCCAGGCAACTCTAATTTATCTTTTGGAGGCTCTTGATCCACCCAGACCAGCACTCGCTACGCTTAGTCCCCTACCCCACCACTCAGTAGCATCTCTCACCAGTCAGAACTGTGCTCAGAAGCAATCTCCAGCTGAATTGGCCTGCAGTGAAGACAGCAGAGCTGGTCACCACACTGAGCAGTGCCACCCAGCTCAGCCCCACCCTACTCAACTTGCTTGGGGGAGTGACAATAGGAGACAGCTGTGTCCTAGCACCTGGTATATTGAGAGATGGGGACAACTGGGCTGGCCCCCTCTTCCAGTCTAGGAGGGGAACATACGTAGGAATTCCCCTGACTGGGTACAGACCTTGGAGTTGGAACCCAAATGCACTTTCTAATTGTGTGATCTTAAGCGTGTTGACTCTTCTGGGCTCTAGTCTCCTCATCTGCTACCTCAATAACTGGGAGAAGTAACTGAACAGGACAATTACAACAGGTACTTAGAAGCTTCTTTTGCTGAAACTCACTGACTCCTCACTGGGGTCTGCAAAGGTCCCCAGGGGAACTAAAAGCAGGGGAAAAGCTTGACATCTCTGTCTCCATTTTGTATGTGTGCCCTTTGCTCTGAACCATTCTCTCCTACAGTCATCTTGCAGTCACCTTGGAACCCAGGAAGGACAGGATTGATAAATATCCTGTGACCAGAGACAAAGCCACCCCCTGCCAGGCAACAGTGACTTTCTTATTGTAACAAAGTCGTGCTGGACCAATCCTGAGACTATGGGCAACTGGACCTCACCTCTGCTCACCTGCTCACCTGACCACAGCTGTGCTGGAACTCTTTAATAATTGCCTCCAGTCCCTGCTCCAGTCCTTCCACTATTTAAACCTGAAGCTCATGTGTGTAGCCAGAAGATGGGCTGAAGTGCTCGCTTCTACTCTTCCATGGTGTGCCTGGGCCACAGAATAAACCTCCTTTTTCTGCCCTTCACCACTGTTCGTCTCTTTATGTGGGATATTGGGGTGGACCCTGCATGTAGAACCCCTGGAGTTGGGCCTCTGGCCTAGAACTCCTGTTATACAATGTGTTATACCCACTTGTCCAAACCTCAGATGCAGTATGGTGGTGCTCAGCTACTCTTCCTAACACCAGGCTGCTGTGGTGGCCGAGAAAGGGAGACTAGGACCTAGAGAGGCACTTGTGTGTCCTCTCCTGAGGGCAAAGGAGTGGAGACTTAGTCCATCTTAGAGCTGGGCACGGTTGAGCACAGCTGGGTGGCATTACCACACAGGGACAGGAAAGGAAGCCCAGTTCAGGACCTTCTTCCCCACCCATTCTACCTTTTCTCTCTTTAAGGGGATTCCACGAGGTAGCCATGAATAGCTTGGGATTTATTTTGTTTTTACTACTTTATTCTCCTACTTCAGAAAATGGGTATAATTCCTATACCCTGCTGGACTCAGATGAACTAATGGTCATGAGGTGTCGTAAAAATTTCAAAGCCTTAGGGATATAGCCATTTGACATCGTTCCAATCTTCATCACTATCAAAGACCTCAAAGAAAGGAACTTACAAGATGAAAAAGGCTTGTCCATTTCCATTTCAGAGGAAGCCAGGCAGAGGGGCTACAAAGCATAGTTGCTTTCCTGAGGAGGTTTAGTGGCCTGTGTGTAGGCTGTGGGTACGACTCACCGAGTCACACACATGCTAGTTCTAAGTCCATGATCTCACTCAACTCTCACCAGCCACTGCAGAAGGGCAACATGGTAACTACTGTACACGTGAGGAAGCTGAGGTTGAGGTTCAGGGTGGCTGAGCATCTTGTCCAGAGAAACATGGTAAAAAAGCAGACTGGTGTACCCCTAGTCCTGCCCTTCCTCTGCATTTTCCCATCTCTCTTAAGTGGAACTTTCACCTTTCCTGCCCTAATCTTCAAAGTTAACCTGAGCCTCCTCTTTCTGTCACAATTCTCCACCTACACTAGCAAATCCTGATGGTGCTACTTGTAAAATATTTAGAATCTGGGGTTGATGGTGGAGAGTTTACCAAGTGTGTGTGAGTCCCTGAATTGGATCCCCAGCGTCAAAAAAAATAAAATAAAATAAAATCGGAATCTTACCACTTGTGACTGGTGCCAGTTGTGAATCCCCTCTTGTGAGCATCTGTCACCTTTCACCAGAATTACTGCTGTAGCTGCCAATTTGATGTTCCCATTTCTCTTTTCTATACGGTTTCTAGAATGTTCCTCATGAAGCACAAATTGGATCTGGCCTCTTTCTGCTCAAACTGCCAGTAGTCCCCATCTCACTCAGAGTAAAAGCCCAAGGTTCAGGCAAGAGGTATAGCTCAGTGGGATGGTGCTTGCCTAGCAAGGTTGAGGCACTGCTGGTTTCCATCCCCAGGGCTGAAACAAACAAACAAATGAAACAAGTAAAAAAAAAAGACAACTGAAAGATCTAGCTGTGACTTAAAAGACCCCAGATAATTCGACCGCCTCTGGTCTTCTGATTCACATGCTAGCCTTTCTCACTGCGCTCCAACCACACTGGCTTTCTTGCTGATCCTTAACTAGTCCTCAGATGATGGTTGATTCTGCCTCAGATCCTTTATACTAAGGGGAGGAAAAAATGTTCTTCCCTCTATATTTCTAGGCTCTTTGGTGGTCTCTGAATGAAATTGACATAAGACAGATTTACTAGGTGAAAACCAATTTTAATTATGTTAGTACTCATGGGAGTCCCACAAAAATAAGAGATAGCAAGGGTTGACTGAGTGGCTCAAGTGGTAGAGTGCCTGCCCAGCAAGTGTGAGGCCCTGAGTTTAAGCCCCAGTACCAAAAAAAAAAAGAGAAAGAGAGAGACTGCAAGCAAGAGTTGAGTCTTGGTTTCTTTTGGAGGGGGCTAGTGGGGGATGGGCAGTACTGGAGTTTTTGAATGCAGGGCCTTTTACTTGCTAGGCAAGCGCTCTACAACACAAGCCACTCTTCCATCCCTTTTTGCTTTTAGGTTATTTTTCAGATAGGATCTCCCGCTTTTGCCTGAGGCAGGCCTCAGTCAGCGATCCTCCTACCCACGTCTCCCTTGTAACTGGAATTGCAGGCAGGAGCCAGCACTCCATTCTGATCCTACAGAAGGAATAGGAGTGTGGGGTTTCTAGGGGTCATGGAGAAAAACTATGGGAGGATGAGAGGCAGAAATGTGTAGTGAATAAGGATTGTTTGTTATGTAGGTAAAAATCTCAGGAGAGCCAGGCCCCAGTGACTCCTGCCTGTAATCCTAGCTACTCAGGAGGCAGAGATCAGGAGGATCAGATTGTGGTTCAAAGCCAGCCCAGGCAAACAGTTCCTGAGAATTTATCTCAAAAATATTTAACACAAAACAGGGCTACAGGGCTGGGGGATTGGCTCAAGTGGTAGAGTGCCTTCCTAGCAAGTGTGTGGCTCTGAGTTCAAACCCCAAAAGTCTCAGGAGTAGGGCTAGGACTGTAGCTCAGTGGTAGAGGGCTTGCCTAGCACGAGCAAGGATCTAGGTTTAATCCCTAACTGCAAGAACTTAAAAAAGCCTCAAGAATGATAAAGGCGGTCTTCCTGGTACAGCTATGACTTTACGAATGAACGTTTCCTTCATGTACATTTCATTTACAAAAGGGCAGCTTTTGGGCTGAGGCTGTAGCTAAGTGGTGGAGCACTTACCTAGCATGGGCAAGGGCCTTGGTTTGATCCCCAGCACCACAAAAAAAAAAAAAAGAAAAAAAAAATCAAACAAACAAAGCAAAAAAGGGGAAACCTTCCAGAAAGACTCCTGTGTCTGCAGTTTCTCAAAATAACCAGCTTGAAATAATCAACAGGCCAAAGATTTCCACTTGGGAGTAGTGTACTCCGTCTCCTATGAAGGAATTTTGGGTTGGTATATCCTCAGCCCAACATTCCCCCATCTGAAACTTTTCCAAGAAGTTTCTCATTCCAGGAACTGGGCTGGTAGGTTGCCTATAACCCACTGAAATGAAAGAAAAACTAAAGCTAGTGACCAGAGGAGACTACTAACTAGTTTCTGAGTCTGGGGGCAGCCAGTTGAAAAGATTTCTGGATGCTGGGTTCAAAATATCTTTTGCAAATCGTGTGGCAATTCCTACATTTGACAAGAGTCTTACCAAACCATCTAGCCTCTGCCTGCAGCGCTCCCAGGCAAAGGCAGTTTCTGGTCTTAGTGATTCCATATCTGAAAGCTGGGAGAAATTAGAAATGTTTCTTTGGGGACTTGTTGCCAGATATTGGAGGAAAACTAGAATTCAGGACGCAGTCCAAGTTATAGGTAGATAAAACCTCAAAGAACAGGTCTGGGATCTAATAATGGGTGTGTTATAGTTTTTTACTGAAACATAATTTTCTCACTACATTCATTCACTTTTCTACTAAAGATAATTACAGTAAGACTAATTTGTTTGCAATAAGTCTAGTCTTGTTAAACTTGGTCTGATTTTGTAAGTGCAGCAATAATAGTGATTAACTATATAGGTTCTCCTTAAATGTGCTTTGCCCTTCCTTCCTTCCTTCCTTCCTTCCTTCCTTCCTTCCTTCCTTCCTTCCTTCCTTCCTTCCTCCTTCCCTCCTTTCCTTCCTTCCTTCCTTCCTTCCTTGTGCTGGGGCTCAAACCCAGGACATACTAGGCAAATGCTACATCCCCAGCT